CCACTTGAGAGATAGCAGCAGCGCGCCTGCCCGAATTTGTGCTGCACGTTGCGTTGTCTGCGGCCGGCGTAAAAAGGCGGCAATACCAGGGCAAAGGGATTGGGGGCTCCACTTTCCCTGATCCCGGGGTTCCTTCCTTGGACTTTTTGGTCCTTCTTCTTTTTTTTTCAGGTTCCTTCCACATTGAATTCTCGCAGTCTGGTTGGTTTCTGCCCACCTGACCAAGGACAGCTCATTGGCCAGTCAAAACGTCTGAAATCTGCGCTTGTCAGAAGTGTGGGGCCTGGCAATCGATTTCGAGTCATCCGGCAAAAGGTGGAGAAAAAGAAAGGCAAGAAGGGCTACAGTGTCTTGTTTTGGATTAGTGCTGCTGAATCAGCTTCCCTCCTCGGAAGGCGAGCCAATCAGAGAGACAAGAGGGATAGAGTAGTCCAGGTCTGGAGGGGAGGGTCTCTCTTTCCGAATATGCACCTCTCGTTTCCAACTCCAACCACGGCCATCCCAACACATCGCCATCATCGCCAACAACTCATGTTCTTTGCATTCAATTATTGTATTACACTTGTATTCTCGCCCTCGCTCCATCTTATCAGACCTTCTCTACCTTATGTAAACGCTTTGTGTCCGGTCATTTTGCCGGATTTTCCACAACGGACTTCCCGCCATACTTCCGCAAGTCTTCCGCCAGGGCTCCGCTAGCCTCCCGCCAGTCAAACAAGCATATCTGAACCATTATTATTCATCTCCATTTCGCATCTGGCCCGCACATCTAAAAGTCCTTTTGCGACAAAGGATCGAGGGCCCGTATTATTCGTACGGATATCCCGCCCACCCACTCTGTCTTACAGCCTGGCAGGGACCTCTTGTGCCAAATTGCGTACGAATTCAATTACGACTAGTATCTGCGCTCCCATGTGGATTCTCGCTGATCCCTTACATAAGCCTTTCCTGTCGATTAGTCTTGCTCTCCGATCGCAACCAAGCTGAAGTTGTTGGCACTGCACCAATTCGACTTCTGGAGACAAGAAAAATTCGTCAATTCAATGTGGACCGGCCCCCGCGGCCTCCCTTCCACCCTGGTCCCAGTATTCCACCGCCGTCTTCGTCCGCCGCAACGGAGGTCTTCGAAGACATTGAATCAGCTCCGGGTCTCCATCAACGTTGACGCTGATCATTCTCGACATTTCAATTTCACGGCCCTGTTCCCTCCTTCGGCCTGCTTCCTCCAACGGGGCCTCCTACGGGCCTCATACGGACATCTCCCACTTGTTTTATCCTCCGGCTGATCAAGCAACCGGTGCAACCCTGGACTTTTCCGCTTCCCCAAGCCCGTCTTCACAATGAGTCACTTCCAAACTGCAAATCTCGACAACTGCAACCAAAAAGCAAAAACTCGAGGGCCAAGGGACACACTAATGACAGGTCGAATTGCTTCTCACTACGGATACAGGCCATTGAGGTGTCAGCAAGAATTGTTGCGAGTAATTCAAGCTCAGCAAGTCACTGTTCCACGACAAATGCATGCTGGCGGCTCACCCTGTCGGAGACTTTCCTTTGCTAAATTAGTGTCTCGCCGCCACGCCTTCCGCGCGCCCTCCCGCCGCAAGTCACACACCTGGTGGGCGTTCCCCCGTCCTACCTGACGGTGGCACGGTGCAGCTGCCGTTCAAGTCTCGGCGGCAATCGGCCGAAGCCTCGGTCAAAGAAACTCAATGTGTCCCTAATTTTGCAAACCAGAAGAGACTCGAGAGAGATAGAGAGAGACAGGAGGCAGCACTACGGATACAGAACGTACCGCTTACCCTGGCGACCTGACCTGGCACCTGGCCTCCGACTTTTCAAGGCTGATGAGAAATGCATAACTCAACCCCAGACACCTCACGTCGTGAAGACTAGCCAAGACCCGCTAATTACACATTGATAAAAAGTCCGTCCGTCTCCTGTCAGCTAGAGCCTGGCCGACGAGCCTTCCCGTGACGCACCACACGCATCGCACGCAAGCACATGGCCTACCGTACCTCGCTCGCCTTTAGCAATCAATGCCCACATCAGCCTGATCGGCTCGGCCTCAAGTGCCGCGACACGAAACATGAACGCGAAAGCCAACTCAACCACCCAACACTCGGTGCAGCATGCAGCACGTACGCCTGGCTCTAAGCTTATGCAGCGCTGCTTCATCCTCACATCTTCTTCTTCGTCTTCGTTGCTGCTCCCCCCCACATCCCCGAACGAACGATGTCAATTCGCTCCCCAGTGGCGGCATCCGAGCGACAGCGTGGCGTTTCCACCCGACTTCAGACTGGCTCCCCAGCGAGAGAAATGATCGCTCGAACTCATCACAGACCGCCCCGTCCCCTGACGACTAATTGCACGCCGAAAGAGCCACCCACAGACTTGTTTGTGTCGAATGCTGACAGCCAAGAACACCGATAGAGTTCCCTCCAATAGGCCTCTTTTCCCTTGTCCTTGATTACTATCCAGCCTGCTATCAAGGTGGCTAACGCCTGCATTACGGAGTACACCACGCTGGTTTTCCAGAACACTCGCAGACATGTTATCCCTGTCGGCGAGGCACAACTAATGACCCTGCGGCTGAATCTCGGATCTCAAGCGCTGAACGGGATGGATATCTGTACAGGATTCTTTGGCAAACTGCTCGGTCGGAGCCGACTCGGTCAGCCGAAAGAGGCAACATGCGGGGGCGATCTACGTCGACGACCCCTCCACCCAAAACGTTTTGTCGTAAATCGGCTAAAAAAGGCTAATCTCGTGATCTGGAAGCGACCATTTCCGTCTCGTCCAAACACTGAACATTCTATGCCATGGTTTTCTCCCATGGTCATACCATCTCTTGGCTCCCACATTGACCACACAGACTTTATAGTCTAAGCGTGGATTGTCGATCGTTGGACGAGGCGTTCTTGGTGGTCCGATGTAGGCCAACGTCGATTGACTCTCAAGTGTCAGTTGGTCAGCCACACACACACAGTTTCCCCAAACATCGCAAGTGTTTTGCTGAATCCGGTAATGGCTTCGCAGGGAGCATCTGGGTGGGCGAAACATTCATAAGCCTATTTCTATTGCGACGAGCGCACTCTCGGGCCGTTCAAAACACCGTTGGACCTCGGTGTCGTTGGAGCAATAATGTGAACGTGAGCAAGCACGCAATGTATGATGACGAGAAGCTATGTGATGTCTTCTGGGAGCACATCTGGGCTCATGATGCTTTATAACGATTTCGGGTCGACTTATCTCAGTCGCTCCGTCGTGTGCGTATATCTCTGACCCTGACAATTATCCATTACCAAGTGGCTTTCCCCATTGCGGCTTGCAAGCTGGTCTTGCGCACCATGTAGACGTGTAACTGCCAGACTCGTCAATTCCCATTTTGAACACAAGGAACGATTGTTTCTGGTCTGTGGCCATAGCTTCTAGATTTATCAGGCTTTCAGTCTAAGAGAACTCTTGATGCGGTGTACCCAGTGAGCTACTCTGCCTTTGGCACCCTTCCTAGTCGATACATTCGATTTCAAATACAAAGAACAGCTTTCCATACGATGTCCAGCCAAAAGCGCTCGAGGGATATTGAGGACGATCCACTTGGCTGGCCGGGTGCTACTCCGTCTGTCCTGACTATATTACTATCCTGTGCTTAAGTCTTGAGAAGCTGCGCTTGCCTGGCTGATGTCACTGCCCCCCGATACCTTTTGGTCAAATATCTGCTTTTTCTAACTCTTGTGTCTCTTCCTTGTTAGTGAACAGTATTATCCCACGTACAGCGTCTTCATCAACGACAACATATCAGCTTGGGAAGACCGAGCAAACACATTGCATCCCCCATTCACGACGTGTAGTCTATGTCTTTCTTCTTTGTAAGTCGATTCTCTTACTTTCCTTAGCACATATTTCATTGGAACTCCATTTCGCCCTCTCTCTGTGTACATAAGTGCAATATGAGGTCCGTCTTTCACAAGCCACCCTGAACCGAGAACCTCTGTTTCCCGACGTACGCTGTAGCTACAAGTGTAAGAATAAATAAATAAAAATAAAAATAAAATGAGTGGATATATAATGTCATCTGCTAGCAGGAATGCTACATGTTTCTCTCCACACAGTTTCTGGCACTGAAGCCATACTCCTCGAGACATGGAGGCGGGCTTCATTGTGACGCAGACTTGCTAAGCGCATTTCCCCTGGTCCTCCTATAACAACACCGTTGATTAAGACCAAGATCCGCCGGCTTCTTTCGCTAAAGCTCTTTTTGAAAGTATTCAGATCAGAATACTGGAGAGAGGAGCAGAGAGTTAAACTGACGCTTTCTGGTTGCTGGCGCGTATAACTCTAGGTATGCAGTATCAAGTTTCATTTCATCATTCTAGAACCCAAGATTTTGGCGAAGGGTTTTCCCACTGTCTTATACTGGAACGAACTCTTCAAGAGAGGCGCATTGCTACTTTGCGGAGTGTTCAAGCTCCACGAGGCACTTTATAAAGGCCGCCGGTGGGGGTGCAGAAGGGGTCTACGGCGCCACCATAAGGCTCTCAATGGTGATGTCGAGGACTGAGGTGCGGCTTCTGGTGGCCTGCTCGTGCTCTGCACTTTCGTCTCGCTCTTGTCTCTGTCACGGTGTCATGTAAAATCTTTTTGCGACCCCATGCAGTGCTCTGGTGCCTCTGCGGATGGTTGGTTACCTTGCGAGATATTGCCTGGTGTGATGAATCACGTCAAAGATTCGAGCCATACAGCATTGCTTCTTCCAGTCGACTAGATGAATGCATCATTTTTCAAGGCCTTCATGTCACAGGCCTTCTTGAAAGAGGAGTAGATGTATTAATACATCTCGAGAGCCCGCTCTCTATACTCTAATTCTTCGAACCAAGGTACAACCTAAAGGATAGGTGAAGTCAAGGGGGCGTACGGTATATTCGCGATGCAAATGATATAGCGACAATGAGTGACTGATCAAGCGCAGATAATCACTGCAAATAAGACCACCAGACTCACAAATCGCAAGCGTCCAAATCCCCAAACCCAAGATTATCAATATCAAACTCATCCACCCTTCTCTTGACCATAACCATCGCCTTCGGGTTCACATTCATAGACGCGCCCGTAATAACAGGCTCCGAAGGCGACCCCGGCGCCAGTTTCCAGTCATACTTGAGCAACAAGTGACAAAGCGCAACTTTGACCTCGTTGGAGGCGAAGAACCGACCGGGACACGCGTGTAGACCGTGGCCGAAGCCCAGGTGTTCGGGACTCGTCGTCACGAGCTGCGCTTTATTGGCGCCGCCGGGCTGCTCACGCATCCGGCGGAAGCGGTGGATGTCGTAGGTTTCGGGGTGTTCGTAGATGGCCGGGTCGATGGAGCTGTAGGTGTCGACGGAGACGGCCTGGCCGCGGCGGATGGTGATGTTGTCGTCTGGGAGGATGACGTCTTCGGTGGCCAGGCGGCGCATTAGGACTGTTGGTGGAGGGTGGATTTTGTCAGATTGTGGGTTGTTTGGATTATTGAAGGAAAAGGGGAGAAGAGGAGGGGGTGGGGGGGTGGCTGGACTTACGCATTCCTATGGGCTTCAATCTCTGCGTCTCCTTGATGGCGCTGTCTAGTAGCTTCATGTTGTACAGCGCGCTCTTTTTCCATCCCTCGGCTTTCAGGACCTCTACGATCTCGGCTCTCAGGGGTTCGATGAGCTCTGGTTCCTTGGCCAGGTAGATGAGCGTCTGAGCAAGGAGGTCCGTAGTAGTATGAATGGCCACAAACGAAAGTGTGAGCTGGAAGATGGCCGCATCGTACGCCCCTCCTTGCGCCTCAGTCTCAGCCCACTCGATAGCATCGTTCGGTGCCGTGGTAGCCTGGCCTCCGGCAGCGGCGGCGGCGCGCTTCTCCGCCCGCCGCTTCTCAATGACTGGTGCAATAAGATGCTGAGCCTCGGCAAGGGACTCACGCGTACGTCTGCAGTCCGCGGAGAACCAGTGGAGTAAGGGCCGCAGGTGGATGGGCACGGCGCGGAGCTTGACGGCTGCGTTGACGGAGATTACGGTGTAGTCCTTTGTGATGCGGAGCCAGTCTTCGTTGCGGCAGAGTTCTGGGCCGAGGAAGACGCGGGAGGAGAGGCGGGCTACGAGGTCGAGGATTGTGTCTTTTAGGGGGAGTTGATGCCATTCTGAGGGGTGGTGGTAAGCGTGAGTCTGGTTCCCCAAAAATGACATAACGAGGAGATGGTGAGGGTAGTTACCTTGAGACTCGCCGAGAACGAGGTTTGCTGCGAATGCGGTCTCGAGAGAGAGTGGTTCGGTGATGGTGTCTGCCAGACACAAGTTTCGAGTCAGTCATTGAAATGTGTCTTCCCGAGCTGGAATATCGTGGAACTTACTGAGCGACTTGGTAAGCTGCTTACGAGCAACTACTTGCAGGATCTTCTTGTCGTCGTCAACGAACCCAAAGGGCTGGAAGCCCGGGATCTTGCCATGAAGGTCCTACAAATTGAACCAAGATGTCATCAGTACACCAAGATTCCTCAAAGTCAAACGTATTACAGAACCACATTGGGTAGTCCCGCGGCCCTGGCAACTCACCCGCATGATAATAGCCCCAAAGCTCAATCCCTCCTCATTCCGAATGACGTTGGCGAATCGAGTGGGCAGAACAAGAATTTCTCCACTTTCTGTAAGGACCTTGTAAGGTTTGCCGCTCAGCGTGGCTCTCCCCTTTGCAATCAGTTCCTTTCCGATTTTGAAGAATTCAATCTGTGCCAGGAAGGTTGGCCGAAACCACTTTGGTGGTGGCTGGAGGAGAGGCAAATCGTCGTGCTTCGAGACTGTGAGCAAGATGGAAAAGACGACGACCAAGAAAGCGGTAGCGATGTAGCCATACGGCTGGATCGTTGAGTTTGGACTGTTATCTTTGCCTAGCCAGGAGAAAGCGGATGCTACTGGCGAAGATGAAGCCATCGTGACTGGAGTTAGAGGTGATTTTTCTGTTGTGAGCGTTGATAGGACGAGGTGAGATGTAGATAGAGCTACTTCGTTAAAAATCGTCCGTTTCAACCCTCAAGGAATGGCATCCTTATGTAGAGAACACATACTTGCGCAGAATGCCTCTGAGGAGCGTTTTCCTGAATGTCACAATTGATCGACATCAGGATGACGGGAATTATCTCGACTTTGAATTCCATACCAAGTCATGAACTGGATCATCGGATAGCTCCAAGCGAGATCTCCAACCCTATCCAAGGCTTTCCCCATCTCACACGAGACAGAGGACTACAAATCAGACCGTTCTCATTCGCTACAATGTGAATGGTAAACCACATATCGGGAGTCGCTTGCAAAGCCGAAGGGCGAAATGATGTGTTTGCACGATGAACTGTCGTCCGTCTTGACATCGGGACGGAGTTCAGACGAACTGATATCAACCGATCCGATGAACACACGGACACTCACCTTCGTCAATTCACAGGTGTGCCTTATGCAGCTTTCTTCGCTCTTTCTTGATTTCTTACCGCTTTCTCACCGTAGCAAATTGAGAGCATACGTCCATTCGTTAGAATGCAACCAATGTTTCACCACCTTAGCTAAGCGGTGGGAGCCGAACCTCTTGACCAGTCAGCATCGAAGCTCACGATATTGATGCACTCTTCCTTGCTTAGACAAACAATGGCTCAAGCTCCATACGGCCTCGGAGTCTTTAAAGTGTCTCAATCCCGTATCGTGCTATGCTTTGGACCACAGACTATCCACCACGAAAATTTATGGGGCGGTGTCATAATCGTGGGGTAGGATGAACATAGAGATCAGCCACTGCAGGCGCAGGCTAGAGCAAGCAGAGCCAATGATAGTTCGCGCTTTACGCGGGTAACAACATTATAATCTTCATTCAGGACCTGTCGTTAGGGACCGAATTCCGTGTCTCAGCTACGGGTACGGTAACTACAGTCACATCGCGCAAGGTTGAGGTAAATGCCTATTCAGGGGAAGCCGGCAGTCGAAGCCGCCAAGGCGCAACGAGGCAGATCTGCCAAACCCCAAACTCTGAAGCGGTCGAGTCTGTAACTGATGAACCGCCTAGCTCGTATCTCGTGTCTGTAACTCGGTTTTCGTGGCCTTTACAATTGTATGGGGCAAAAGTGGACGAATCAGGTACTCCATAATCAAGCGCGAGGGGACATCAACCAAGCGGATGACTCCGTGGCAAGACTGGGATATGCCGTTAGATATACGAACGGGTCTTCCCGAGTCTCCCGTTGACGTGTAAAGTGTGGCTATGACGGCTCAGCCTAGTGGGGGATTGACCCTGGTCACCGCGTTCGCGCCTGGACTTTGTAACGAAACCTTAATATTCCAAAAGAGATCTCCAAGCCAAATTAGCCAACGTCTGCGTGTAAAGTCACAATTGCACTAGTAAGTCGGGGGATAGTACGGCTGGGCAAAGGCTGTCAAACAGGGGAGGAGGCTATTCAATCTACTCCAGTCAGACATTCGAAAAGGTCTATTGGTCACTATGATCTGAGATCCGCAGGTTCGTCGGGGTTTGCCTTGTTGAGGGGAGATAAGATCATGCATGATTGGCTACAGTGCTAGAAGAAAACAGAAAGCTTGGATTAAATTGGTCCTTTCAAGTAGCTACCTAAGTTTCTATGTATTTGATAAGAAAGCCTAGGTTCCAGAAGCGCAGCAAATATATCCTGGTTGCCATTCTACGTTGTCTAATATCATTGTCGTCTTTCAGGATCTGTCCTATATCCCTTCAGTCTCTTACTCCCTCAAGCTTGGCTCTGTTTCTATAACAGTCTGTCCTGTTATACCTCTCTATTGCAGTCATCACAGCAAAAAAAAGAAGAAGAAAAAAGAAACAGCCAAGAACGACAAAAGGACTGCCAGAAAAGAAGAAGCCAGCGTACAGAGAGCACAAAGGTCTACGGAGCCGAGGATACAGCCCTATTGTAATCTGACAGAAAAGGCGGGTCGAGATCGCGGTTCCGGGTCGACTCGAAAATAACACTTGCGGCTTTGACCTGACCTTGATATCCAATGGCGAAATGCAAAGAGCACCCCTTAGATGTTTCAAGTATGTTGACGCAGACGATAGAATCGACTGAAGGCGCGTCTGACAAATTTGCTCTCTAGTTGTTGAACAGAAGCTCGGTGGCGGCATCCGAGTCCACGGTCTTCTGATATCCCTCTCAGCAGGAGCAACCATAGTCGCCTGTTGTGCTACGGCATACCTCATCTTTAGACACGCGAGCAATTACACGAAACCCAAAGAACAGACACAGTGAGTTCCATATAGGTCGTTCTCTAGCAACCTGCCACCATGGAGCGTTCGTGGATTCTGACAAAAAGACGCTGTTGCGCAGGATTATCCGGATCTTGTTGATGGTTCCCGTCTACTCCATTGCTTGTACTCTCAGCATCATCTTCTATAAGAAGCAGGTGTACATCGGAAGCGTCTACGAGTTTTACGAGTCTCTAGTCATCGTCTCCTTCTTCCTTTTGCTGTGCCAGCTGCTGCATCCCGATCTGAATACGCTACGCCGGGTTTTCAACTTGGTGGAACCGAAGAAGTGGCTCAATCCCACACGGTTCTTCGTCAAACATGTGGGAAGAAATAAAAAGGGACGGACTGAGGACGGATTGAAATGGTTCAACGTGAGTGAATGCATCGCATAGGCAAGAGGTCTGTTACAAAGCCTACGTCTGACCAATCTCCTTCAGATCATTTGGTTTGGCGTTTTCCAGTTCTGTACCGTCAAGTTCTTCGGCGCTCTCACGAAGTGCATCACGGAAGCGGCGGACGTGTATTGCAAGGAATCCAAGGATCCTAGCCATGCCAAAATCTGGGTGAGGGAGGCCTTTATGAAGATAGGATTCTCGAGAGTTGTACGTGGTAAAATGGAGACACTGACAACGAATAGGTCATGATTATCGAGATCTTGTCCCTCATTACAGCCATGATGTGCCTGCTGCAATTCTACCATCAAACCTCGAAAGAAATGGCCCAGCATCTACCTCTTCTCAAATTCCTCGCCATCAAGCTGGTGGCATTTCTGTTCTACGTTCAAACCGTGAGTGCAACCGCCTTTCCCCATAAACAGATGTTTTCCAACAGCCTCTCCTGGCCGTCTCGTTGATCACGAATATATGCTGACGCCGAAGCAACATCAGGGCATCTTCGAGTTTCTCACAGGCGACGGCGGCCCGTTGAAACCAACAGCATACATTTCACACCTGTCATGGGCTGTCGGGATTCCCAACACACTCCTCTGCTTCTAGATGGCAGCCGTATCGATCCTCCACCTCTGGGCCTACCCCTACACCATCTACAGAGACCCAGCGGCATCGACAAAGACCGGGTACAACGCTAACTACGAAGATGAACAGGGGACAGATCAGAACTCTGCGACGCGAATCATCCCTCTGCGAAGTTGGGAAGTCTGGCCTCAACAGCCGGAGAATGTGTATGGAGGCGCGTGTGGAGGAGGAGGAGGAGCAGAAGCAGGAGGAGCAAGAGCAGGAGGGCAAGACGCATACGGTGTTTGGGACGGGGAAGACGGCTCTCCTCGTTCTACCTTCGAGACAAGCGCTCTTGCTCGGGGATTCCAATGGAGGGCGTTGAAGGATGCGCTCAACTTTGTGGATATTGTCCGGGCTGTTGTGGGAGCGTCGCGGTGGCTGGTCATCGAGCGACGGGGGGCTGCTCGTGGTTCTGGGGCTGACGGGGTCCAGATACAGAATGAGAAGGGGATAGAGTACACGGAGAGGACCAGAACGGATGATCTGTCTGAGGCTCTGAATATGGTTAACAGCCAGACGCGCAGATGATCGACTAGGAATTTGCAGGCCGGACGGAGTCTAGCGGCCGAGGACACCCCTCACGGCGGATCGAATGAGTATAACTCATTGTATGTGATTAGTACTACAACTTCCTGTCTGGAGTTTTCATCTTTCTAGTGTCTTCAGGTTCGCTCAAGCGTAAACTTGTCATAAGAGAGGTCTTCCAAATTCAACCCTAGCAACGCAGACAAGTCTCATCAGGAACAACGATAATCGTTTCAAATGAATCATTGCAGTCCGAGCAACAACTTCTAACGCCATCTTTGTTCTGCCCATCTCTCAAGTCTTACACGAGACTTCCATGCAGCCCTCAAAAAGACACCCACTTGCTCCACCGCGCGTAAGCCCTCACGCATCTCGTCTCCCACCTCACTTGAGAGTCCATAGACCCGTTTCCGGGCGGATCTGTCAACCAAGCTTCCTCCCCCACCAAGGGAAACACATGCAAGCTTCAATTCGCCCAGATCGTCTAGTTGGTTAGGATGATACGTTGTGGTTCTTCTATACAGCGATCCGTGTTGACGGCGGTTCGAATCCGCCTCTGGGCAATGACCGAGGACTGACCATCGCGATCGGTTCACTTTTTGTTGTTGGTCAGGATTTTGAGGCTCGAAATTCCATATTGGCTGGTGGGGTTGGCTGCAAGGTGCTTGAGGTAGGCCGAGTATCGGAGGGGGCAAGCTTGTCCGTTGGCTGCTCGGAATGGATGAAGTAACGTAAATCGAAAAGGAAGATTCGACGGTTGAAACTCCATGGATCAAGGTGACCAACATGGTGCTGTAACATGTTCACCCAAAGTCGTGGAAATGTCAGCATTCAAGGAACGTTGAGCTACCAGTCGAGCACTCAACCAAGCCTAAGTCGCATTTCATTTGGGCTTCATGCGCGAGTAGCAATATGATGTTTGCATTCTCAAAAGACCTCTTCTCATCGGTCCGAATTTCCTCGCCTTCTTTCTCCTTCTCTTTCCATCATCTCTTATAGTACAGTAGTATTAACACATTTTCTTCGCGCAAAGCCCCCTTTTTATCGTCTAACCATGCCAATGCTGGCGGTGCCGTGAGCGCGCGCGCCAATATAATCAAAAAAGAGATTCCACCTCCTAAAACGCCATGCCATGCGGAGTCGAGTGAAGTTTGTTCCAATACAGTTTTCTGACCCTCAAGCAGCTCTTGGCGAGCACTCTCAGTGGTCATACCCCCTCCCATCCCTCCGTCGGGGTCCATTCGTACATCGATTCGGTCTGGCCCGGCCCAAAATCGCTCGTCGGCAGAGGAAGCTTTCATCGTCCGCGTTTGCGTCACCGTCTTCGTGACGACAGTTCTGCCGCCGCCGCCTCTTCCGCGGTGGTAGTTCACCGGTCCTTGTAGATCTTGGGCTTGAAGCCTTCCTTCACCTCAGCCTCGACCTCCTCCTTCTCCACCAGCGGCCCAATCTCCTTCTCCAACCTCTCCCTCGCCCGGAGCACCTTGCTTTGCAGGTAAAAGCTGCCGCCCTTCTTGGGATCGTTGACGTCGAACAGCTTCTTGAAGCGCTCCATGACCTCGCCGGTGTTGGCGTCGGCACCGTTCTTACCGGGGGTCTCGACGTTGAGAATCTTGCACGCCTCGTCGAGCGTCATGCCCGAGCCGCCGGAGCCGGCGCCCTTTGTGCCGGCGGGTGCGTTGCCGTTCTTGGCTTGCGCGCGGGCATACTCGGAGGAGGCCTGCGCTTGCTTGTAGGCTGCGGCGAAGGAGCGGCCGACGATGCGGGTGCCGACGAAGACGACTTGGGTGATGAGGCGGTACGCCTAAGAGTTGCGAAGGTTAGTCGAGTTGTGCTTCGAGGGGCCGGTAGGATATTGGCGAGCTACTGCGGCGCATTTGTGTTCGAAGGGTCGCGCGCGCGGAGGGTTGGAGGGGAAAGCTCGAGGCGAACTCACCATTTTTGCTATATTAGTAGCCTCTGCGCGAAAGGCGGTAGAGAGGTTGTTGATAGAGGTGGATCGATGCTTAATGGCTGATCGCACGGTTTAGACGGACCCGAGATGCGATGTCGCGCGTGTTCAGTACAGCTTGGCTGGGGGGGGCGCTGGGCGTAAGGACGGCTCGCAACCTATCCAGAAAAATCCATCGACGACATGGAAATTGCCGACGAGAAATTCCGAGCTTCCTGCGCTTCGGAGGAGCGGGTTTTGCCGGCCGCCGACAGCTTTTTTCTCGGGCCTTCCCTACATGCTGCGCCACATGTACTCCCTCCAGCCACGATGGAAATCTCAGTGGGCGCCACACCTGTGGCTTGTTATTAAACCTGATGCTCGCGGGAAATGAGCAATGGATTTCCCTTGTCAACGGAGCACGGGTCTTGATTTTGAGTTTGAGTCCATTGTCGAAATGTTCCGCTGCGCTTGTGCTTTTTTCAACGTCTCGACGGCGCTGCATACGCCTAGAAACTTATGTCACCTCGAGCTTCCGATGCTCATTGAATTTTCTACTGAACAGCTAGTACGATAAAGGATGGAAGTAAGTGCAAAGATAGACGGCACCAACTTGGAGGTGTTCCAAGTCGTTCACGATAGCTACGTTGCCGTGCCTAGGTCAATCCGACTGTTCAGAATCTTGGGTCATTATCTCAGTCTCGGTGACTAAATAGCATCAAACTCGAAGCTCCCAAGAGATGAAATGGCAATTGAGGCAATGCCGTCACGCGGAATAACGCGAGAGGGGTCTTATGGGTAACAGAATATATACTGGTTGGTTTATGTACTCCGCTCTATGGGCAGTCTAAGTATGTACAGATGAATTATTTACGGGATAAAATAGTATGTTCCAAGACGTGAAAGCGAAATCTAGGACCAGGTAGTGGTGGCACCAATAGCCTCACCAGAGGTAGGAATCAAAAAGTTGCTCGCCACAATCTTGCCGTTGGCCTGGCGCGCGCCCTTGACCAAGCTAACATCGACGCTCTTGAAGCTCGAAGCAGACCAGGTAGCGCTGCCGTCCCACGAGTTGCCGCTGCTCGTGGTGCCGCTGACGAGCGACGTTTGGCCAGACTTGGCCGTGGTCGCCGAGTTGGCAGCCGCGATGTTGCTCTTGAGCGTCGACTTGGTCGTAATGGTCTGGAACCCGACGGCGCCGTTGTTGTAGGCCGTGTTGCGGGTGAACTGGAAGTTGCCGGGCTGCTTGTTATCGGTGAAGCCCTTGGCCACGTTGTTGAAGGCGATGCTGTTGGTGATGACGTGGTTCGCCGAGCCGACGTCGGCGGCGTCGCCGCCGCCTAGCTTGAAGCCGTTGCCGTCGCCCTGGAAGTCGGTGAAGCCCCAGCGGTTCACGCCGTTGCCCCATGAGATGGTGTCCATGATGGTGACGGGGGACTTGAACTCCCTGTTGTGTGTTTGTTAGCGGGTGTTTAGGAGAGTTTGCGGGATGTGGAAAGGTTCAAACTTACCAAAGGTCCAAACCGTCATCAACGTTCTCCCAAAGACGAGCGCCCTTCAGAATGTTACCCGTGCCGGAGCCCTCCTTGCAGGCGAAGCCGTCGGCGCTCTCGCCGTTCTTGCGGGGGTCGCGATTACGGTAGGAGTCGAGGTAGATGACCTGGTTGTTGCTAAGTGTACCCTGCATCTGGAAGCCCGTCTCGTAGTTGTCGTGGGTGACGATGCGCTCAAAGTAGTTGTTGGATCCGTCGCGGAGGTAGACGCCGTAGGGACCGTTGATGATGGTCAACTTGTAAAATTTCCAGTAGTTGGCTCCCTCGATGTGAAGAACACCACGATCGGCGTTGGCAAGAGAGGAGTCAAGAGCGCCGGGGGTGCCGGGCAAAGCCTCTCCGTCGATGGTGACGGCTTCATCATTGTAAGCCGTCAGAGTGTAGGGCTTGGCGGAGGTACCGCTCTTGGTGATCTTGATGTTAGTCGTGGGCGAGTATGTGCCGGCACGGAGGTAGATGGTGTCGCCAGCAACGGCCTTGTCGACGGCGACCTGGATGGACTTGAGGGGAGCCGCGAGAGTGCCGGCAGCGCTATCTGAGCCGGCGGGCGCGACGTAGAGGTCCGCGGCTAAGACGACCGGGAGGATGGCGAAGAGGAACTTGTAGAGACCCATGTTTGCTGTTAAAAGACCAAAAAGACCAATGGCAAGGCAAGAAATGAGTGACTGCAGTAGTGAAGACTGATCGAGAGGGATCAGCTCTTGCCGATTAGCCGGCTGCCATCAAGCTTAAATACAAACTTCACATCGTCAACAGGGAGCCCTCGTCTCTGAGAGCTGTCAGTCTAGGTCTTGATGAGAGTAATACTGTACTGTCGCAGTAGACAGCTGCCATCCAGGCCGTGGCATTCTATTCGCAACCACCATTGACCCCCTTGTTAAATTGGGCTAGAAAGCAGACCGTCCTCCCGTTGGTGGAAAACAAACTCCACCACCGTAGGGCCGCCTCATTGATGGAGACTTGGCCTCGAGGTAGGATCCATCGACATCTCCGTGGGATAGAAATCCCGGCAATCGAGAGATTCCCAGGACCGCATGAGCGAGGGGTTCCCTGGGCTTACTGGGGATGCGGTCGAGGTTGTTGAAGAACGCAATACGCGGTTTATGAGCCACGATGGGGAACAGTACAGCAGCGACCCAACGGAAAAGCAGCTCGCACCATTTTGTCGGGCTCCGGAGAGCCTCGACCGGAAGATCTCAGTCCACCATCTCGGAGAGCAGCCATACACGGACTTGATGGAACGTTGACTAGGGCTTTAAATCGTATTGAGCAGGCACACGACTCAGTTGGGTAATGGCACGACACCAAATGGTCGGCTTTTCGAACGAAACATGCCCGAGGACCAGATGTCTGTTTATTGATAGCATGAGCACCTTGAAATGAGAAGAAGGCGACGTGAACCTGTCCATCTTCGAAAGCACATGAACGCTCTGACCTCGCAGTGTTGTCCAGAACTTCTGCCTCTGCGTGGGATGAGTGGAGATGACAGTCCACTGCCGTGATGCTTGGCGGAGTCACCTCGTGGCCAGTTACCGATGCCATGGGTTGATAGGGGCTCCAGTGAAGAGAGTCAGTAGCACCAGAAAACTGCCGCAGTCTGCCCGCATGCGTGTTGTTTGGTCGGGGATTGGGTTATGTGGGCTGGCAGAAGAAGCGCCCATCCCCGGACGAACATCCCTGGAACAATTGCTTGCCTAATCTGGCGGGCAGAAATTTGCGCTTTGTTTGACGCTAGATGGAAGAGGAATTCGCTACCGTTGTTCGCTTTCTGGAAGCAAACACCTGCTGGAGTTGGTGCTTTCAGCAGAGAAGAGAGAATTGCGTGACGTTGGCAATCTCAGCGGGATGATGACATGGTCTAGCGACTTATGCATGGCTCTTGCTGTATCCGTAGTTCATCTTATGTTGCTGATGCATAACGTGTTCGTGAAATACTACACCACTGCGTCCACAAGAAATGGAGAACTGGGGGACTGGGAATGCCGGTCCAGGGTCATCAAGAAAGGTCCGAAGGAGACAGTCTGATGATCGGATGTTATCGATAACCTGGAGAGCTAAGGTATCTTATCGGATCCTACTATCGATAAGGCACCTAGTGGCTTGTGCCTGACAAGCATCTTGAGCCTGCCTCAGACTTCAGGCAAGAAATATTCTTCACGGCCCCACTCTGTAGCTCCAGCGTCCAGCCCTGACTGACGTGGTGAACCTCGAAAGAAGCTACGTCTCCAATATCGCCAGCTCCAGGTACCACCTGTCCACTCACGCACCCAAACGCGCCTCGCAACCCCGGCGCAAACCGGCTCTCGAGCCCACGACCGACGACCAACTCCTGTCATCCACAACCCATTGCAACCAGATTTGCAACGATACCTATCACGAACCGACGACGAAACGAAACCAAATCGAGGCGCGCCTACTCCAGACAAGGGAGCAGTAATCGAAAGGCACTCCAACATCCAAGCTAGCTGAACCAAACCTACCTCAACCTCTCGGCTACCACACACAACAGACAATGTCAAACTACTATCAACCCCAACAATCCTATGGCCCCGGCGCAGGAGGCGGCGGCGGAGGAGGAGGAGGCGCCCAAAACCTCCAGTTCTACCCCTCCTCCTACTCCCCAGCCGGCGCCGTCTCGGGCCACGCGACTCCACAACAGGCCTCGTACGGCTACGGAGCTCAACCCGCCGCGGCAGGCGGCTTCGGCGGCGCGGCGGCCTTTGGCGCCCCTCCCGGCGGCGGCGTCGGTGTGTCGGGTCGCATGGGCGAGCAGGGCGGCCTGCGCACGGGTTGGCTCGCGGCCTTTTCGACTGAAGGGTACGATGGCGAGCCGCCCTTGCTCGAGGAGCTTGGGGTCAACTTTGGACATATTCAGGCAAAGGTGCGTTTTGTTGTTGGCGCGAGCGAATGGGCGTGGAAAGTTTGGGAGAGCTTGCTTCCCTCCCCCCTTTCAGAATGGACTCGGGCATGGGGAGACGTTTTGGCTGACCTGCGATGACTTACAGACTCTGGCCGTGCTGAACCCGTTCCGCCGAATCGACCAACACCTAATGGACGACGCAGACCTCTTCGGTCCCTTACTCTTTGTCCTCTCCGTACGTTGGAAACCCCAAGCCTCGCCTCCATTCCCTACCATCTCCACACAGCTGACCTCTCTCCTCTCCCAGTACGGCACCTTCCTCCTCCTTTCCGGCAAAATCCACTTCGGCTACATCTACGGCCTCGCCCTCCTCGGCAGCACCTCTCTCCACATAATCCTCTCCCTTATGACCCCAACCGACGCCCACCCCTCAACAGCCCCCTCGGCACCCCAATACGGCGGCCCGGTCTCCTCCGTCGGCGGCGGCTACCCCGGCGCCCCCGACACCCACCACGACCACCCGTCGCGCAACGCCGCCGGCCACTTCTCCTCGACCCTGACCTTCACCCGCTCCTCCTCCGTGCTGGGCTACTGCCTCCTGCCCCTCGTCGCCACGAGCGTTTTCGGTATCTTTATGCCCATGGACACGCCCCTCGGTATCGTCTTCACCACTATGGCCATTCTTTGGTGCACGTACTCCGCCTCGGGCATGTTCTGCGCCGTTGGGCGTATGAGGGGTATGCGCGGGCTCGTGGCGTACCCGCTTGCGCTGTTTTATGTCGGGTTCGGTATCATGGGCATCTTTAGCTCTAGGGGCAGCGGCGGGTCTTTGGCCAAGGCGGCGGCTGGGCTGAAGGGCTGAGCGGGCAGGGAGATTCGCATACAAGAACCTTACAATCATTGGCAAATTGGTTGGACGCGAGGAAATATCGAAAAAAAAAAAGTCCCGCCGCGACGGGAAAGGCGCCGTTCATATCATGGAGACGGCGAATTTCGGTGCGTACGACAGGGGTTGAACGTTACGGAAGTCACGAAGGAGGGGTAGAAACCGAAAGGAGTCCAAAAAGGAGCCACGATAGACGAGCAAGGCAACGAGACAGACAGATGCACGCCTACGGCTACCAGGGGAGGCGGAAGCCAAGGGCCGATGACGATGCTTCACGTCACTGTACAATACTTTAATCATGTTCAGACGAAGCCAGAAATAAATTTTTTGATGGTCCAATGCCTCCTTTCCCTTCCGTTTTCCATGCTGCTAAAAGAAAAAATTGCATAATGCTGGGCCGGAGATCCTCTCGTAATATACACATCAAGTGTAAAAGAAAAAGGGAGGATCAGACGTTGAAAACCTCTCGACCAAGCATAGTATTACAGGAGACTATCATGAGTCTCCATAGCCAAATAGCCTCCGCGGCGATAATGATTCTCCGCCAGGCACACAATAGGAGGGGCCTTGTCGAGCAGAAGATCCTCGTTGGTATCATAAGTTTGACTCCCCTTCGAGGCCGTTTCTATACCTGCCCATCCGCTCATGCCGAGTCGAAGCCTCACCGCCGCTCTCGTTGGGAATGAAAATTCTATTAGTCCGCTCAGGGGACATTTGATAAAAACCCGAAAACTCATCAAAATCAGATTGTCGCACGAATGTATCGTACCGCGAGTGATAGTGGCTCATGCTGAGAATGAACCCAAGAAAAAAAAGTATCGCGACTGGAATCTGTATGCCGCCTCGTTTCATGTGTTGAGTCCACCTCTTGCTTCTGGCGATTGCGGGGCTTGCTCATTCATCATCCGTGTTCTTGTAGAAGCCAGTCGTATCCGCTTGCTGTCATTTGGAACTCGCCGCCGCGCTGTCAAGGTCCAACCTTTTCTCTAAGAGACTTAGAAAACAGGTCTGAAACCACCAGTGGCTGGTTGAGGCGCGAAGCCGTTGACCTTGGGAACGTCGGCAACACCGCCCAGGATAGAGTACTGGCCACCAGCGCCAGCGAAGACGAGCTTCTTACCGCGGACAGCGGTGTTGTCAATAGTGGTCGGGGTCTCGATATCCTCAGTCGTGCCCTGGCCGGTCTGGTAGTTGGCAGAGAAGCCCCATGAGTGAGCCTCGCCCTTTCCGTCAATGGCAAAGTTGTTGTCAACACCAGCGGCAACATATACACACTTGGCAATATCTGGCGACTTACGTTAGCGACTCTCAGTACTAAACAAACAAGTTGGACTTACCCTCAACAGCAGTAGGCTTGGAGAGAATGCGGGGGTTGTTGCTCTCATCCTTAATGACGCTTTCCGCATCCAGCTCCTCGACAGGGATACCGACCTGGTGGCCATCCAGACGTCCCCAGGTCAGGAGCTTGCCGTCCTCGGTGCAAGCAAGAGAGTGGTGCTCGCCACCAGCAATTTGCTTGATCTTGTAGTTCTTGAGCGACTCAACAATAGTAGGACGCAGAACAACGGCGTCATCCTCGCCAGCACCCATCTCAATGCCAGTCTCGGCAAAGTTGTTCAGACCCCAAGCCCAGACGGCACCGTCCTTGCCCAGGGCAAAGCTGTGGTAGGATCCGCAAGCAATGCGGTCAACCTTGTTCTTGGGAAGACCCATGCTCTGGGGGATGAGAGAGGAAAGCTTGTTGCGCTCGATGATACGGCGTCCAAGCTGGTTCTGCTGGCCGCAGCCCCAAGCAACAACGACACCCTTGTCGTCGAGAGCGAGAATGTGGTTGGAACCGGCAGCGAGGGCCGTGATGTTCTTCAATGTGGGAAGGTAGGCGGGGGTCTTTTGAATCTGGATCTTGTCGGTGAAACCGAGGATACCGTCGCTCGACTGAAGATTGTTAGCTATTGATCAATTCGGATTGATGCTGCGGGCGAATGGCTTACTCTGAATGTACCCCATCCGTAAACTCTGCCATCCTCAGTCAAGGCAAAGGTGGCACTGTCACTGGCAACGACCTGAGTAAATTTGGCATCGGGAGCAAAATGCGTCGTGTCAACGGCGGTGGGCGTGCTCTCGTGGGGGTTGATACCGGAGTCGTCCTCGTCATCTTCCTCCTCTTCGGCGTCAGCGTCGCGAAGTCCTCCATCCCAGTTGGTGTCGCGACCAAGAGCGCCCTGGTCGTTGACGCCCCATGTGAGGATCTTGTTGTCCTTGGTCAGGGCAGCGACATGCATGCCACCGCAGGCAACCTGGACAACACCGACATCCTTGGCATCGAGCTTGGGATTCAATCTCGGGCGCTTGACATCGACAATCTTCTTGCCGTCAAGCTTCTTGCTGCCGAGACCGAGCTCGCCAGAGGATCCCTCGCCGAATACATACACATCGAGGATCTGGGTCGGCGCAGAGTTGATCTTCTTGCCAATCTTGTGGGGGTGGGCCGGGGGAGGCTTAGGGGCAGCGACAGCAGCCTTCTTGGTAGCCTTCGCAGGCTTGACAGCCTCGGGCTCCTCATCCGCAGATTCTGTAGCCTTGGCCGATTCCGTAGCCTGGCTGTCGACCTCAGCAGTGTCGGTCTTTGACTTCTTCGCCTTGGGCTTCTCGTCTTCTGTCGCCTCCTCACTTGACTTGCGCTTCTTGCTATCAGCGGCGGGCTTGGCGTCAGTCTTCTTCGCGGCGGCAGTCTTCTTTGGCTCGGCCTTCTTCGCGGCAGCCTTCTTTGTGGGCTTCGCGGCCTTGGGCTCCTCTTCGGTCTCCTCGACAGCAGCGGCCTTCTTCTTGGGGGCGGCAGTGGTGGTCTTGGTCTTCTTCACAGCAGGCTCTGCGACCTTCTTGGTGTTCTTCTTGGGGGCAGGCTTCTCGGTCTTCTCGGGCTCCTCGGCCTCGGACGCTTCGACTTCTGATTCCTCCTCAGCGAGCTTGCGCTTCTTGGAGGCGGCAGTCGCGCCATTGGTAGTAGCTTCCTTCTTGCCAGCGGGCTTCGCGGCAGGCTTCTTGGTGATCTCGGATCCCTTCTTGGGGAGGGGAGTCTTCTTCGGTGCGGCTTTGGGCTCAGCGGCCTTTTTGTTGGCGGCCTTGGGAGGCATGATCGTCAGGTGATGATATGATGTGATGTGATGGGTAGGAGCGTGCTTGGCGATAAAACGCGTGTAATGGGATGGGAATTTTGGTCGAGTCGACAATTTCGCAGAGAACAATTGAAGAATCGATTCTTTGTGATGCGAATTGATGCAATCGAGATGAAGAATTTGGAAAGAAGAGAGTCAAAAGAGGAGGATTGTTCTGGGTATGGGGGGAAGAAAGAAATTGTTTCGAGGGTAGGGCGGAAGTGACGCGACCGGAAGGTGCAGCTTTATTTTCTTGGGCTCTGGAATTCTGACCAAGCAGGGGTGGCGCTTTGTGGCTCTCAGCGCGGGCTTAGCTGCGGTGCGCTGCTGGCGGCCCCAGGGCCCAGTAGGTTCGTTCTTTGCGCAGCTGGCCAGCTGTCTTTGACCTAGTACGATCCCGGGTGGTTACCTTCCATGGGTACCTGACCTTCTGGGCCGTTTTTTTGCGCAGCTATGGCCCGAGCTCCCGGGGCCGGGTCCAGTTATGTTCCAATGGGAAGCTGCGATCGATGGAAGAGCTCCTGACCGCCCGGTCGCACCTGCCCTTTTTCTTGCAGTTCTCCGGCAGAAAAAAAGGCAAGCGCAATGGAAGGGCCCGGCAAAAAAAAAAAAAAAAAAAAAAAACCATTCGAAAAATCCAAGGGTGGGTCTTTCCTTCCCTTCCGGTGAGTCGGGGAAACCTCGCGTCGTCTGCCGATGCCCCCAGAATCCCCACGCCACGACGACTCGGCTTTCTTTCATTTCTTTGCAATTTGGCGCGAAATTGTGCCCGGCTGGACAAAAAGCTCGGCCTCCTATGTTTTGCTTCCAGGTCCCATATTGTTGTTTTACTGCGTTCGAGCTTTATGACAATGCGCTATTGGTCCCGCCAGCTAGCCAGCCAGTTGATTGGAACCGCTTAGACAGAGCCGCGTCTTTATGGTCAGTGTGTAAGTCGATGAAGCACGCTTGCTTTGGTTTCCCTCCAAAATTGCCTCAGACCAGATTTCATGACATACTTCCGTCATATGAGCCGACACTGTGCTCTCCAGTGGTCACGAAGTCCAAAGTGATGTGCATCTTGATCATCAGCGATGTTATCTGTAAATTGGAAACACCGATGGCGATGCACACACTGGCCCTAACAATACTAGGAGCCAAGCATGGCATACTGGATTCGCTACTGGAAACGCAGCCAAGTCACCTCTTCATCTCCAACTCAAAATATTGTCATCACTGAATGCTATGTTAATTCTTATCGCTAGCTAAGGTACCGGGTGGAATACTTGTTATCGCTGGTGTTTTGTACCTTACCTATCCACAAGTCGCTGTCGCATGGATATCAATCTCATCTCGAGTTTATGTCGACACTGCCAAACCGTGATCTGGTCGAAGTGGCTCTCTCTCAGCGTTTCCCCTTTCTCTTGTTCTTCTTGTTCCTCGCTTTCTTCCCCCTGTTTCCGCAACCGCCTTGCTGAGGTTGATTTGAAGCCGGCGCAGGAGGCTTCTCTACCTCGTCAGACTCCTCCTCCTCGTCGAGCTCCTCTATTGTTTCAAGCCTCTCTTTCTTTCCAGACTCCTTGAACTTCCCGGGCTCCTCTACCTTTTCGGGCCCCAACGGCTTGACTGGCTCCGGAACCGTGGGCTCACTCACAAAGAAATCCAACACCTTGAAGAAGCCCCTGCCAAAGTAGTTGGCCATGTAGAACGCCGCGAACATGGCGAAAATCCTCTAGACGCGTTTCGGATTCGCCCACCACATCCAGAACCTCAGTCGCCATGCCCAGAGCTCCTGTTTCTCTTTCTGCCAAAGTCTGCAGCGGCTCCAAACGTCTCGGTACCATCTCCCAATCCGCCCGGTCGAGAGGTCGTGCCTCGAGAAGAAGTATCGACAGAAAAACCATGCGCAGCTGCAAAGCAGTACGGTCAAGATTGCGCGAACGGTGATATGCACCAGCAAGACGAAGAGATGAAAGAGCTCCTCGCGTAAAACAGGGTCCGGTATTCAGTAAGAAATATCGAAAACTTGTGTGGTATTCATGTTGACTGTTGGCCAGTCCTATCGGCCAGGACCCATTGTCCGCTCCAAAGCAGCCGTGCCATCATAAACCATTAACGCCTTGTCCTCAGTCGTAGGACCCATCGCCGTCGGGCCGTACCACTAATCCCAGAGACCCTTGAACGCCGATACCAATGCTGCGAATAGGTTTGCAGGGTGAATGAAGTTACTGGCGGGTGGTGAAGTCGATCTCGTGCTCAGACCGGTCATACGAGGCAGAGGCTGCCTTATCGCATGTGCAGGCATCTGAGAGGGGTGTTAGCCATCATGCGAACGAGAGGGGAGACCAATGAACATACCAGCGGGACGAGATCCGCAGGAGCAGGTCTCGCCGGATGGCTTAGTGTTCTCTGTGGAGGCACGGTCGCAAGTGCATTCTCCAACGGGGCGGGCTCTGCACGAGCAGCGAGGTCCGGCGACAGCATTCTCGGAGGCGGCCTTGCTGCAGGTGCAGTGGAGGGCAGATTGCTTGCCGCAGGAACAGGTAGCTTGCTGGGCTGAGAAGAAAGAAAGGTCAGCTTGTATAATATTGGTGATACCATTATCGATTATGGATTGTCTGAGAATGATGTGGTGTTGGAGTACGAGAGAGATGTCGAGATGATGTTGAGGTTGGGGGATTTAGGGGGTGAGAAGGACATACCACAGACGCACTCGGCGCTCTTGCCGCAACAGGTGGAAGGCTTGGTGACAGTCATTGTGATTGTTGGTTGGGACGGCGAGGTTGGTAAAGAATAAGGTAGGAAGTAGGAATTGATTGTGAATGTGGAAAAAGCCAGGAGCGATGTGCGAGTTGCTTTGGGTTGAATTGGTCTAAATCGGTCTATATCGAGGGGGAACAACATCACAAAAGGCAGTCGCAGAGGGGTCCTTTTAAGCATCTGCGATGCAGGGACGGAGGGGCCGAGTCCCGACGTCACGGTTCCTGCCATCGTGGTGGGTGATCCCTGCTCTAGGTCATCAGCTAGCCCCTCATTGGTTACAGATCTTTCTGGCCAATGAAAACAGCTTCATTTCCAACAATTTGCCCAGGTTGCATCGGGCCATTTCCATGGCCAGATCTTGCTATGTCAGCCCATGTGTGAACGGTGCAATTGCCTGACAGCGGGACGGGTAACTGCCAATTGCGCCCACATCTTTTTGGTCAGCATTTGACGACGGTGGCACGGTTGGCTCGCGTGGCGTGGCATCCTGGGTTGACACCTTGTAAGGTACAATACGATTTGCTTTCACCCCAATCCGGACATGGATCTCTAAGACGCTATTCGGCACCGTCAACTTGTACCTTAAGCTAAGCCCGCACATACACTGCTTTTGCACCCTCTGATTGCTCTTACTTTCCTCCCGTAAGGTATATTGCTTTGATGATCTTATATGCTAGCAAGCCAGGCGTCATTCTCCTAAAACTTTTGAACGGCTGTGGGGAGGCAAACGCAGCAATTCTTCTAGTTTGACGAAACCCAAATTCCTCTGGCTTAAAGAACACGTACGTCGCTTGTATGCGCCTGCCCGTGTTCAAGCTAGTATATCCAGGCATGTCGTTGAACGCTGTCTTGGCTTCCGGCCAACGACAAACGGCACCGCGCAAGCAATAGAATATTGACCGCGGCCGTCTCCACAGCCTCTCCTGACCCCGTTCTGTTGGTGCAGCCTCCGCTGATAGTTGAGCAAAATCCAAGGTCTGTGCCGCTTGCATGAATACTCATGAGAGCGACTGCCCGTCTTGCTTCTGTGAGAGGACGGCCGGTATACTAGGCTTTATCACGCTGAGATATGATGCCATTGCTGAAGAGTTGCTATACATAAACGCTAAGCTTTCATGATGAGGCTAGAATATCAGCTTCATTATCACGGTAAACACCGTCTGGTACGATAGACAGGCTTCAGTAAAGGCGATTCCCACTTGGTCTCAGTTTATATAGAAAAAGCAGACGGCATGGAGAGATTTGAATGAATCATCCAAAAGATGCACCAGACCGTTGCCCCGGGTTTCTGCATACATGTTGACTTCCTTCATGTACGGACCTTTGATCCGTTTGCTCTACCTTGTGCCTGAGCTGGCCCTCGACGAACACTCCTGACGCCCGCGTCCTTCATCTTTCTGTAACTTGGGACCCGAATACGCTCCTGTTTCTTTTGGCGCCCGTTTGCTACCATCTACTCCAACTTGACCGCCACACGGGAGCCCTGGACTTTCTTCACCTCTTTCCAAAATATTCAAACGGCTCGCGATTCTTTTCTCGAGCTGGTTTTACATTTTCTCAAGCTTGCCAGCCACAAGGTAAACTTCAGCCGCCCTACTCTGAGGTTCCTCCACACTTCAGGGTGTTATTTCCAACCGCGAATACCTCACTCTCACCCACAACCTCATCAAACCTTCACCTTCCCATCTCCAAACCATCAGATACAGCAAGGAGAGGCACCCATTTCAAAATCAGCTCTCACCGCCTCTCATTGCGAAAGCTTCAAGATGGTTGTCCCAACTGACCCCAAGCTGCTTTCCATCCTCGCCGACAGAGGAGGCGTCAACATCAGACAGCTCGAGGTCGGGTACCGCGAGTTCGTCGACAATATGATTCCCAAAGTCTTTTGGGGAGCCAAACCCTCCAGCGTCGACCTCATTCACACTCCCGAGCCCTTTATCGCCCGCCGCGCCTACAAGCTTACCTTTGACGAGCCTCCCAAGCCCGGCGTCCCCATGCAGCTCATCCTCGACGTCAAGTTAGGCCCCAGCCCTATGAATGCGAGCGTCTTTGTCAACATCACCAACCCCGTCGGCAATGTCTCCACATTTGACGCGGCCGGTCGTTGTCAGGAGATCGCTCGGTCTTGGCTTCCCGATCTGGTCCCCCGCGTCATTCGCGTCGGTATCTTTGAGACGGATGACGGCGATGTCGATTACATCGTGACGGAGCACATTCCTAACACCGTGACCCTCGACAAGGTCTGGTCCTCTCTCACGCCCGAGTCGCAGGGCCGCATCATGGGCCAGCTCGTCACTGCGCTGGAGAACCTCCAGAAGGAACACGGATTCTCCGAGAAGGATATCGAAGAGGCGCTCAGGGCCGTCGATCTGTCTGGCAACATCGACTACACCGCCCCCGTGGTCCTCAATGGCCCCAAGACCCCCGAGTCCATACCCTTGGACCAAATCCCGGCCTGGCCTCCGCAGTTCACCTCGCAGAAGCGCGTCCACCTCCTGCTCCAGCGCTATGCCAACGAGTTCCGCCCCGCCCGTCACCACTCCCCAGCCACCACCTTTACGGAGCGCAAAGACGGCAGCTTCTTCATCAGATTCCCCGGCGCCGATCACCCGATGGACACCCAGGGCCTCACGTGCAGACACATCCAGGAGCTCGGCAGGGCCCTCGTCCTTTGCCACATGGACCTCGAGCCGCGCAACGTCCTCGTCAAGCTCGTCGAGCAGCCCGCCGGTCCCACTGGTCCCGCCGACGGCAAGCCCGAGAAGGAAGTCCAGCTGGCCGGCATCATCTCCTGGCAAAAGGCCACTTTCGCACCCTTCTCCATGGAGCGAGGCCTCAAGGACGCGTTGCTCGGCTGCCAGTTCAATTCAGACTACGCGTGGTACAGGCTCTTTGTCGAGCGCACCAAGCACCTGATTCCCGATCGATTCTCCAATGCTAACGAGCATGTGCTGGCGGCCATGGTGAGCATGCGCTTCGCTGCTCGTGCGCTGGACTGCAACTACACGACGACTGCCCACCAGCAGCACTTCTATGCCATGGAAAAGGTTACCATGACCTCAAACCGGGAGGATGGATGGGTCAGAATGCCTGGCGCCCAGGACCATGAGTCGCCCTCGGACTCGGAGTACCGGGAGATGGGCAATGGTCTTGTTCGCAAGCTCCTCTATAACCACTTCCAGACAATTCCGAGACACAGCTGGCCACAGAAGATTGTGGACGCCTTTGCCCAGTATGGTGCTTGAGCTGTCGATTCTCGGACAGTCTTTGATGGGCTGTGGTTACCGAAGAAAGCTACATGCTTCTGGTGATTGGGGGCTAGAGGGAAAGAGAGTACTTTTTTCTTTCACATGAGAAAATGACAATTGTTCTCGGCCATCACCTACCTTGTATCCTGGAAGGAACGTCGACTTTACGCTGAGAGTGCGTGGGGCATGCAACGGATGTGAGGGTTATCGGCATGGTATGAGACAGAGAGGGAAATTCCTAGCAGACTAGCAGACGACTAGGTCTAGAAAGTCTCTCATTCAATTGATTCCCCATGAACTTGCTCTCGCGCCTTGTTCATTGCCATACTGTACTCATGGTTGATTGGTATCAGATTGTCTTTGACATGGAGGGGCATGGAGCTGAACGTCAGGGGTGAATATCGCGCTTACTAAGACGATTACCTGCTTGTCATCCAGGGTCAAAGCTCTGTTGACATTCTGAATCTCTTGGTCGCACCGGATGAACCGCTTTCTTCTTGCAATGTCTCTACTCTGAAGCCGCTGTGACCAACATGTTGCTGCAAAGCCAGACATGGCGGATCATCTCAAACTTTAAAGCTTACCAGATTCTTTCCTGTAGGTGCCTCCCCATGCTAGGCGAGACATCACCCCCAACGATGTTGACTCTCGGATCTTGGGGGCATGGGATCCCGAGTTCGCCTTATCGCGACCTTTGACCCCTGATATGAATACCTGCCCCAAGTATCTCAACTTTCTTTTATCTTAAGAATGAACGAACCAGTCGCATCGGAGTCGTTAGGACTCGGCTCGGGTCTATGGCTAATGCCTTCCTACCTTATCATTGCTGTGCTTGGAGTCAAGCCTACCTACTGCAGACTATTCTCGCCTTGGAAGCTCTTACTTAGAGAGGTAGGTATGCTCTGTTGAGAGAGAAATTGCGGTATCCCCGAGTATCTCGTCAAGATCGAACTCAAAGCTCTCCTACATCGAGAACCAGCGACCAGTTCGAGGAGAGAAGGCCCGAGTCCTTGGACCCCATGTTACTTACTGTCTCACCACATTACCAAGGACAGCAGAAGAGATCAATCGTATTGTTCTCCGCAGTGCGTGTAGTTACACGAGGGTACTTGCAGTGAGCCTCCGGTCCAGCTTCCTTCTCGTATGACCACTTCTCTTCCCTTTCTTCCAATGTCCAGTGGCTTTAGGCAGGAAGGTCTAACGTATCCGGCATCTTGCTGCATTCACTTGCCTTTACTTGCCTTTGTCCACGTATCCTACTTCCTTCCCACTTTCATTCCTTCCTTGCAAATTTCTCAAGGCACCTGACTTTTTACTTTCGTTCGCCTTTTGTTTTTCAGCATCACCAACTCTTTCTCTCTTTTTCTTCTTTTCTCCTTCTTTCCCTCCTTCTCTTATGCGACTTTCCTTCATTCGGCTTCTTAAGGATACTCGAGGATATGCGATCCATCTAGTAACCATGGCGAAGCTTCGCAGCTTCATGTTCCTTCTGTGGGCATCGGCCGTCACCAACGCGAATTTCGCTTCGTTCTGTCGCTCTACTAGTGGGCCAGCGCTATCCTCACTCTCGGACGAAGGATATTTGCAGACTTTGGCAACGACTTCAGCTACCCAGGAGCCTGAGAGTGCTTCGGCCGGAGAAGTCGCGCTAGAAGAACCTGCAAGCCAGCCGCAGGATGATATAGCACTTCACCAGATATGGGCGAGGCAGAACCTGACGCAAGTACAAAATACTCCTGCGCCTAGACCGATGCTAACCATATGGTCCAGGCCACCCGCCGAAGCGTCAATCCAAGTCACCACCGTCACTGTGGTCCGAACGGTGACTGTCGAGCTTGCTAGCCGAACCGAAGTGATCTGGGCGCCCCTTCAGCAGACCCTGACTTTCATCAATCCTACCCTGGTCTTCGAGACAAGTATCGTTACCGCGTCGCAGCCTCGAGGTATTGCAGCAAGAGACGCGGCAAACGCCATCGCATCGGATCAAGCGGCGCTTTCCGAGATATCCTCGACCGATACGTACTACCATGAGGGTGCTGGCCTCTCACCGCACCCGGCTCCTATCCGGAGGCAGACCTCGGCTTCAGTCAATAGAGTCTCCATAGTCACCGTCGAGATCACGACCACCATAGTGGCGAGCGGCACCATGGTCCGCACTGTCACCATCTTCGATCCCGTGTTCGTTTCTGTGACGAAGACGCCTACTCTCACGTCGACGATCTTCACAACCACGACCCTTCCCATCAAGAATGGAGTTTTCAGCTCATCTGCGATCGTACCATCTCCACCGGCTAGCCAGAAGGCCATCTCCAGCGATGGCGCTCAGCAGACTGCGTCGTTCATGGGCCCCGAATCTTCTTTTGTGACGGCAACGACGCCAGAAACCCCTGAGCCCCAAGACCCTTCGGTCGTCTCCAGCACCATAGGCGCACCCGAAAGCAGTCGCATCCGCTCAGAACCCAATACTCCTCGCAGTACCTTTGCAGCATCCTCAGTACTTCCAGGTTCATCGCCTGCGACCCATGAAGGGACTTCGGCAAGGGTTGAGCCTGCAACGAGCAGTAGTCCATCGATGAGATCAACATCGACAACGACTGTTCCGCCCCTTACGGAAACTCTTCTACCTCCGACTGAGCGTATTGCTAGGCCATCGTTGAGTGCCGGGGTAATCGCAGGGATCGCTGTGGGCGCAACGTTTGTTCTCACGGCTCTGATACTGCTATTCCTCTGCATACGTCGACAAAGGTCCAAACGCAGGCGTCATCTTCAGTTGAACGAAGACGACCGTCATATGACATCTGTCATAGCTGCTACCGCCATGATGAACCAACCGACTTCTGCCTCTCTAACCTATGACGGACCTTGCCAAACGCCGCAAACTGAAGGCAGCAGTGGTAAAAGTTCCGAAGAAGAGCAGGTGCGAGTTGTCATTCAGCCAGTCCTCAAGAAAAGAAGCATGAGCAGCGTGCTCTCGGCCTTGCCAAAGGTCTGGCCCCGACCACCGGGATATACCGGCAAGGCATACAGCTTTTCTGCAGGTGGGAGCGGCGAAACAACCCCAAGAGAGCCTGTAGCATGGAGCGTTGAGAGCGAGTATGGCAGCTCGGGAAATCCGGATGCATCGCCAAGTGGAGGATATGGGGAAGCAATCGCCTCGAAAGGGCCGGCAGCAACCCACTCCAGAGCAGATGGCAGGTGTGAGATGGGTTGGATCAGATGAACTAATGCAATGATCGGAGCAGTTATTTCAAAACTAATGACTTATGGGCTGTGATTTCTTGGAGTCTGGAAAGTTCACCGGTCGCTTTGAGTAAGATGGGGCTCTTTCGCTCACCGATGCAAATCTTACCCGCAATGCAAAATGAGATCATACCACAATCGGTACGAACTCCGTCGACGTATGATTGCTCCGTTGTGACAGACCTCAGCACACTGCATCTAGTAGCCTATTCCGAGGCCCAGCCCACCGATTTGTATCTCGCACTCAAGTGGGTGACAAAGTGGATTTCCTCCCATATGTCTTGAACAAGTGCCCCTTTTACTACTCGTATGAGAATTACTACCCCTTCTGCATCATAACCCTTCTTATATACGTAAAAGAATATACTATATCTCATAGATAGTAGTACTCGTGATAATAGCGGTGGAAACTGCTCTGTCGGGTGTGTTCGAGCGGAGATCGATTTTGTCACCCACTTGCCAGCCCACCGATTTGTATGTGGCACTGCAGAATGCGGTTGGCATGTTGCATTGGCACGTCACCGGTGCGGGGTTCTTAAATAAGCAAGGTGAGCGGATATTCATTAAACTGTTGTTGGATTGCGTCAAAGGAATCGGGGACCAACGTAGTTAAATTCAGGGCCTGCCGTCAGACATGGGGCGTTGTGATGAGGCCGGCTGCCATCGTTCCGTGCATGAAGCTCGCCCCTGACCTTCTCATTCCCTGGATAAAGCATGGCGTCTAGATTGGTCGCCGGACTCCTGTTCGCAACAACTTCGGTGCTAGGACGACATACTGAGCAGGTCAAAAGAACCTTCGACTCAATCAGTGAGCAGTATGACTACATCGTGGTCGGGGGCGGAACGAGCGGCCTAGTCGTCGCAAACAGACTGAGCGAAGACCCCGAAAGTGAGTATCATCGTCACCAATGGCCTCTACTCCAACACACCTAATGCCGATTCATTGTGTGTTCTCTCAGAAACGGTATTAGTCGTCGAATATGGAGACTTTGCCAACACAATCAACGTCACCGTGCCCTACTTTGCAACATATGACCAGTCAGCGCGCCTTTACAACGTGACGTCCGTCCCTCAAACACATCTCGGTAATCGTACATCCCGCCTTCGTATCGGTGCCGTGGTTGGCGGAGGCTCCACCGTCAATGGAATGGCCTGGGATCGGGGCTCCGAAGCCGACTACGATGCGTGGGAGGCCCTTGGGAACCCCGGTTGGGGCTGGGCGACTCTTTTCAAATATTTCCAAAAGTCGTCTACATTCGCGCCGCCTTCGGAGGAGTATGTTGAGGAGTACGGGTACGAATGGAGCGAGGATGCGTATGGCGATGGACCGATTCAGGTTGGGTTTCCTTCGTGGCAGTGGCCGGAGTCTGGTAAGGCGTCCTTTTGACGGGTTTATGCCCACACTAATTGAGAGGCTAACGTCAACAATAGCTTTGATGGCACAGGCATGGGCTCAGGACATCAAAGTGCCCACGTTGAAAGACGGCGCCGACGGCGACAACGTTGGCATTGCATGGCTCCCGCAGAACTCTGGCGGTCGTAACGCAACTCGATCCACCGCCGAGACCGCGTACTTCAACCCTGTCAGCGCCCGCGAGAACCTACATCTTCTTGTACGTCACTACGGTGCAGCGATCAAGTTTGAGGGCAACACCACGACCGGCGTAGTGATTGGCAGTCGTGATGAATCCGAGACCAAGTTCGTGGAATCCCGGAATGTCGTGCTCGCCTCGGGTGCAGTTCACACACCTCAACTACTGCAGTTGAGCGGCATTGGTCCAGAGAAGCTCCTGAAATCTTTGGACATTGACGTGGTGGTGGATTTACCAGGCGTTGGTGCGAACTTCCAGGACCATCCTTCCATCTTCATGGTCTACGATTGTAAGTTGAACAACTACTTTAGAATTCCTATCAGAAGGTTAATCTCTCTTCACATAGTTGCCAACGACACATCCATCAATCCGACCCTCATGACCAACGAAACCTTCTACAACGAGTCTTGGGCAGAGTACGAAGCCAACAGAACCGGACCACACACCCATGCCTGGGGAAACCGAGTCGTCTTCACATCCCTCCAAGACCTCGATCCAGACAACTACGAAGCCATCACCGACGCCGTCACAGCCCAAGACTCGTTGCAGCACCTCCCCGAAGTCTACGCCGAGAACCCGGCCCTCCTCGAGGGCTTCAACCGCCAGCGTGATATCCTGAGCCAGAGATTCCGCAACCCAAAGGCAGGCGTCATGGAATTCACCTTTGGCGGCGCAGAATCCGTCCCCGTAGCCCTCCAGAAGCCCCTTTCGCGCGGCACCATAACCATCAACAGCACGAACCCCGACCCTGGATCATCCACCCCAGGCGCCGGCGGCGCACAAGTCGACTTCAACACGCTCTCCAACCCAATCGACACGCTCCTCCTCCTCCGCGCCGTCGCCAAAGCCCGCGCCTTCATGGCGAGTCCCAGCGTCGAGACGCTCGCCGCGGTGGAGATCCTCCCGGGCCCGGGTGTCGCCAGCAACGCGGAGATCGAGGCCGTCATGCGGGAGTCGTGGCTGTCTTCGAGCTTCGATCACCCGGTCGGCACAGCGGCGATGATGCCGCGGGAGCTGGGGGGCGTTGTGGACAGTGGGTTGACGGTGTATGGCGTCGAGGGGCTGTGGGTTGTGGATGCGAGTGTTATGCCGTTGTTGCCTGCGGCGCATACGCAGGCTACTGTGTATGCTGTTGCGGAGTATGCGGCTGATCTTATCAAGGGTGTTGGGAAGTGAGTTGATGAGGGTGTGGAGGTGGTGGTGCGGAACTAGCAAAATAAGTTCCATCTTTCTTCACCCGCCCGCTAGGACTTTGCGTTGTGAGTTAAGCTTATTCCAACTTCGAGTGCTACCATCAGCCGCTCGGATCCACCGAGACTATGGTGCGGGCTGTGTTCACACAAGTCAAATGTTCAGTATGACTGGGTCATTGAATAAGAACAATCTGTCGATGCACGCTTGTAACATTACCAGGTGACCGAACCCAAAGCCTCAGGCCCAGTTAACCTCGCTTCCCTAGTAGCCATCCCTCGTCTCCAAGCCTCACAGCCAGCCATTCACTACCAAACAACTCTCATAATGAGCCGTCTTCCTCAAAAAGTGCATTCACTTTCTTCTTTGCCTTGTTCCTCCGCCCTTTGGAGTCATTGCCCCAAGCTCAAGCATCCGTCGGAGAAAGCCTATCGGCGCTTTTGGTAGTCGGTACGGTGCCGAGATGCTCATTTACTGGGCTACTTGCGTGCCTCCAAGCTACAATTGAGGGACTAGTATTCCGAGTCTTTCTATGAGAAACATTGCGATGGAGATGGGTGTAGCGGGTGGGTCGTGTTAGTTGGCCCCCTTTACCCTCGTCATCGAGCAAACCCATCACGGCTTCGGCCACGATCTCAGACGAATACTCTTCTTGAGTCGAGAAGACTTACTAGAGAGAGGTCAAAGTAGCGCAATTGATTTCTGCTTCATCGCAAATGCTGACGACACCTATTGCTCGTCACGACCAGCTTTACACATACAATAGATTCCACAAAGAAAGTGGGCAAACCGCAAAAGTTCAAATCTTTGGTAGATTAAGTTTAGTTCAGCCGTTGCCACTAGCAGTGTATCCACAAATTACTCGTCGAACATAAGCCGAGTTCATCGTTCACTATCGCGATGTGACCTCACCCCGCCATGCAACAAACTTGCATTGGGCCATTTTTCCTTCTTTCCCACAAGATTCGCCCGAGACATTACTGCAGATTCACAACAAACCCCACCACGGCTCAAAATCGTGGCGAAAATTCCGTTCTCCTCCCCTGCTAGCGTTGATCGGATTCCGTTGCGAGGCCCGGGTGGAGATCATAGGAACCATGGGAGCAATGGGGAGCTTTCTTCAGTGAAACGATACAAGCACACCAATGGGATCACGATGATATCTTCGATACCCTGGGACCAAAATGGTCTCAGGGTCGCATCGCACCACGTACCGAGCATCTCGAGTCGGACTGGTGCGAGAGGGGGGACTGCATGTCTGGTCTAGTCTGCCGGTCCAGATCGCCTAGGTGCGTCTTGGCGTTTATCCTTACCTGCATGATGGTATTTACACAGATCGCGCGCCCGTCCTTTTTTTTTTTTTTTTTTTTTTTTTTTTTTTTCGTTTTTTTCTTTTCTTTGGGGGCTTTTAAGAAGCTTCTGGCGCTGCTGTTCTTCTCGTTTTTTGGGTTCATTAGTTGACTCGTTCGCGGGTGTATTCTTTTTACTTGGCTTTTCCGGCTTTTGGCAGAATTGAAGGGGGACTAGGTCCAGAGAAAGCAGCAATCATGGCTAAAGCAGACCTCATCGAAATGCAGCAGCCAAAAGGCGGCTACGACGCCGTCAACACGACAAGCTCCTCGGGCAACACAGACGACGGCACCAAGAACAACCACCACGAGAGTGGCGTCTACCCATACACGACCGATGGCGGCACCGGCGACTCGACGCTCAGGGTAAGTCACAAGTCGTAGTCTTCCCTTCGGCTTATTCACAGATGGAGACTAACATAAGCAAATCTTGCAGCGTCTTTTCTCCTTTTGGCAGCTCTTGGCCTTTGCCCTGATCTTCATGTCCTCGTGGGAGGTCATGGCAATGGACATGGGAGCGACCTTTTACAACGGCGGGCCGCAGACGCTCGCGTGGGGTATTGTTCTCGTCGTCGTCGGCGCCATGGCGCAGGCGCTCTCCATGGCTGAGCTCGCGACCATTCAGCCCATTGCGGGAGCGCAGTACCACTGGACGCATTTCCTTGCGCCAGAGAAGCATCGACGGTTCATCACGGTATGTTCTCTCCCTCTTCACATGTTTCCCCAGGGGTACACAAGGTACCATGAGACATTCAAACTGACAACGACGACTCGCAGTGGATGCAGGGCTGGGTAACCTGGTTCGCCTGGGTCTCCGCCCTCGCGGGCTCCGCCGCCTCGGAAGCAAACATCATGATCGGCCTCGTCAGCACAAACTACCCCTCGTACACCTTCCAGCCCTGGCACATTACCATGGTCATCATCGCCCAGCTCGTCGCCTGCGCCCTCATCAACATGTACGCCTTCCGCACCATCCCCTGGATGGAGCTCCTGGCGGGAGTCCTGCACGTCGCCCTCTGGCTCGTCTTCGTTGTGGTTTTGCTCACGCTCGCGCCCCGCGCCTCGGCCGAGTTTGTGTTCTTCGAGCGTACCGTGAGCTCTGGGTGGACGAATGGCTTTGTGAGCTGGAACATCGGCATGCTCGTCCCCGCGTGGGGGTTTATTGGGTTTGATGGTGTTGTGCATATGGCGGAGGAGACGAAGAAGGCGAAGCAGGCTGTTCCGCGCGCGATGCTGTGGACCATTATACTGAACGGCGTGCTCTCGTATGGGATTATCCTCGCGATCCTCTTTGGTATGGGCGGCGACCCGGCCACGACGGAGGCGATTCTGAGCTCCGACTATCCCATTATCCCCTTACTCTTCAACGCCGCGGGTCCCGCCGCCGGCACAGCCATGGTCGTCGGTCTCCTCGTCATCACCTTTTGCGTCGTCGCGGCCTCGCTGGCGTCCGTGTCGCGCATCACGTGGGCCTGGGCCCGCGACGGCGGCCTACCGCGGTACTTTGCCAAGATCCACCCGACGCACCGCGTACCCATCCGCTCCGTCTGGCTGCCGTGCGTCATCGTCACCTGCCTGTCCCTCTTCACCGTCGGCAACACCGCGACGGCGACGGTGTTTTCGGCGTTTACTGCGCTTTCGTCGCTGGGGTTGTACGGGTCGTACATCATCGCCATCTCGTGTATGCTCCACGCGCGGCTGACGGGGCGGATCGGGCACGGGTCGGGGTATGCAGTGCAGTATGGCGGGTGGTCGCTGCCCAAGGGCTGGGGCACGCCGATTAATGTGTACGCGCTGCTGTGGTCGATGTACTTGAGCGTGTGGCTGCCGTTCCCGCAGACGGTGCCGGTGACGGGTACGGAGATGAATTATGCGGGACCGATTTATGTTGTTGTTGTGGTTGGCGCGGTGAGTTTGTGGTTTACGTGGGGGAAGAAGCACTGGCCTGGGTTAAATAAGAGTGCCATTGATAACGTCGTGGCGTATAACTGAGGGTGGGATGAGATGGGAAAGCCTGAGTTGGTCTAGACTTTGTAGATGACGAGTTATTAGACTACTATACAGCCTCGTGACGTTGTGTACAGCGAGGTTACCATCGCATACTTTGACTCGATCCCTTGATGGAACCCCTGATGGATCTCAGTACGATTGACTTGACAGATTTGAACATTATTGTCTCTTCTCGTTGACCGTGTCCTCAAGAGACATGGCCAACCTGTTCTCATCTCACAATGTTGGTGCCTAGGAATTACACGCGGCCGTGATGACTGGCTACATCAGGCACCGACAGCCTGGGTAAGAGCATTGCGTACATGGGCCACGAATGCCACGCTGACACAAGGTGTGGCATCTCCTATCGACAACGTGTTCTGTTCGTATTATACACCAAGACCTGGGTGTTTGGCTTTTGGTCTTGAGATACTGATCCAAGAAAGCAAGTCTCGGTGAAGATGAAGATGAAGATGAAGCATCCATGAGTGGGTGTGTCCCAAAGCGGCAAGATGCGGAGAGGAGCGGCAAGGTGGAACAACGCCCCGATCGTCGGGCGGGACCGAAGGGCGCTAGCAGACGTCACATGGCGCTCAGATACGGGGGATGCCTGGATGCAAAACACGGTGCCTGTATCAGTCGTGGATGTTCTGTTGGTCCTGGGGTGTAGACTGTAGTAGTCAAGGACTCAAAGGTATCTAGAAGCGTTAAGATGGAGGGAACATGTTTGCTCGGTGAGTCAAGTCAGGAACCATACCTTGCTGTGAATGAACACATGTCCATCTATGCCAAACAGGGGCATTGGAAACACGGTGACCTCAAGGTCCCGTGAGTATTTAGAGGGCCCGTCTTTAGCCTCGGTGAGCCTTGTAGAACAGAACAATTAGAATGACTACCTTAAGTTAGGTGCCTTGGGAAGATGAGATGAGAGCGGTGTAATACGAATCAGCAGGTTCCCTGTCTTCCAATTGTCCGGTTTCAGCTTCCTTCTCTCCGCAGCTTACCTCATCCGTTGAACCTTCACCGTTATCGGCTTATCGCTTGCCCGAGCTGACACCAACGACACCTTATCGCAGCTTATCCAGCCCCTCGATGACGTCCACCGAGGTACCTAATCGCATCGCATCTCGCTGAAAGCACCAAAGCCAAGATCTCACCGGCCGTCCCCCCCGCCTTACTAAGTAGGTATTCTACAAATATCTTAGCCAAGCTAGGTATGTAAGGTACCTTTCCCACCTAATACTATGCTGCAAGTACATTACCGTTTGGCCCTTGGATCCAACGGCAAGTGCCCGTGATGCCCGCTGCACCCGCCTGTTTTGTCCTCGTGCTCAGGGACCCCACCTTACCTTCCCCCCCCCGGCGAGCACCGAGCGCCGGTTGCTGCTTCCGCGTGCTGTCTGCTGTGTAAGCTGCCGTGTACCTTGCCTTACACACCCGTCCGCATCCGCAATCCTGCATCTTCCATCTGCTCCTCCACAGCTTGGTTGAACCCTTTTCTTTCTTCCATTCTGCCTGTCTGTCTGTCACTCCGTGTCTCGTCCCACGGTTGACTGACACTCATAGTCGGAATTCTACTGATACTCACACACGTACCTATCAACCTAGACAAACCTAGAGCCCTCAAACGCTGCCCCTCGCTGCTCATCCCATACCGTCAGCCCCTCCCCGCCTGACGTCGGCTGTGCTCCCTGCGACAGCTGCGCGCGCTGACCGAGCCGTGCAAAGCTACCTGTGCCGACAACGCTCTTCCATCTCTTCTCTAGTTCCGAGCAAACCTTCTTCTTCCCTCTTACACCTCTACCACCTCTCCACTTTAACGACCTTATCGAGCCCTCATATCGCAACCATGTTTGACATATTCGCCCACCTCTTATCGTGAGTCCTTCTCTCCTCCGAGCATGCGCAATGGGTGCCATCTTCCCTCCATAGTACCCGTGATACCCTCGGCGCGGCTTGAATCTCTCAGTCTTCAGCCTTGGGCCCTGCTTGATCACTGTGAATCGTTCGACTAACACGGCATTCCACCTCACAGCTCCATCGCTTCCTTCCTCTTCCCCCTCTTCGCCTCTTACAAGGCCCTCAAGACCTCCGACCCGGCCCAACTTACACCATGGCTCATGTACTGGGTCGTTCTCGCCTGCGCACTCCTGGTCGAGTCCTGGACTGAATGGATTCTCGTCTGGTACGTCCTGACTCAAGGATTGCAGACAACATCCAGTCTTCCCTCTTCCCACCAGCCACTAACACCAACCACAGGATCCCCTTTTACGCCTACATCCGCCTTCTGTTCCTCCTCTACCTTGTTCTCCCCCAAACCCAAGGCGCCCGTATCATCTACCAAACACACGTCCACCCCTTCCTGCAAGACAACGAGGCCCAAATCGAAGAGTTCATCTCCGAGGCCCACGACCGCCTGAAAGCCGCCGGCATCGCCTACCTTAAACGCGCAATCGAGCTCATCAAGACAAACGTCCTCGGCCTGCCCCCAGGCGATCCCGAACCCGCGCCCCAGCCCTCCGCCGCTTCCGCTCCCGCCGGCCACCCGCCGCAGTCCTACACGCAGTCCCTCCTCGCCCGGTTTAGTGTCCCCGCCGCGCGCTGGGCTCCCACTGCTGCCGCGGGACACACGGGCGCTGACTTCTACAACCTCCTCGCCGGCGCCTACTCCGCCGCGACCGGCGGGGGACAACACCAGGACCTCTCCAAGTCTGGCTCCATCATCCCGCCGAACCTCCAGGGTGGCGAGAGAACGAGCTTCATCGCCGCCCAGCGTGAGCGTCTCGCCTTCCTCCTCAAGGCCCTCGAGCGTGAGGAGGCAGCGACGTCGTCCTCGGCGCATCCCGAAACTTTTAGCCGCTCCTTGGGGAGCATGCAACTCGACGGCAACGAGGAGGAGGAAGTGACGCAGAGACCGCCGAGCGCGCATAGCGGGCTCAGCAAGTCGCGGAGTGAGACTGATTTCGAAAAGATTGACGCCGAGAGCGGGGCCGAGGACTTGGGCGGCGACGACGAGGACGGATCCGTCAGGCGGAGGCAGACGAGCGGGGGATCGTCATGGATGCCGTGGGGATGGGGCACTACACCGACGGCTGAGAATCCCGAGGGTGGATCCAGCTCGGGCGTGCACAAGTGATTGCCGCCCTACGGATATGACAACGGCGTTTGTCAATGGGAAATGGAGTTTTCTTTTTTGCGCGGTGGTTTTTGGTGACTTTTGCATGATGTAGATGTTCGGCTTCAGGCGAGGGATATGGAGTCATGGTCGATTTATGATACACCCGAGAGTGGATGTCATTTCGGGACCAGCGAAAGCCTGCGCTCCCGCACGATTCCCAACCAAAGGGGGGCCGAATAGACCTGGGAGTCGCTTTCAACAGCCGACCACCGTTCCGTCAGTGTTGGCTTCTGTTGTGATTGTACCAATGTTTTGATTTGACCGCTATGCAAAAGTCTATGCATCTACGACCCTTACCACTATCCTAGGGAGGGCCATGACATTCGTCTAATTTTACAGTTGAGATTCCTACTCTTGCCACGTCCATCTTACACACATCCCGCCCATCTAGTTTTTATTGATACAAGTCTTTTCTCCAGAAAAATATCTTCCACGAGCTCGCGTGGTGCCCGCTACATCCCCGACTGCCGCAAAACGACCTTGTCCCATGTTCATCGCCTCTCAACCACACGAACGCTCAGTTCGTCTTCTTGTAAGGATACGCCAACGGCACGTCCTTGCGCGTCCAGACGAGCTTCTTGCGCTTGGTGGTGACGTGCTCGGCCCAGACCTCGTCGGCGTACTCTTTGCGAAACTGGCGGATGAAGACGGGGTCCCAGAGGTCAGAGGCGACGCCGAGGTCCTTGCAGCAGCGCATCAGGGCGTTTGATTTGCAGCCTTCGACGGCGGAGGGGAGGTTTTCGATGGAGAAGTAGCCGTTTTCGCCTTGGGCTTGGGAGATGAAGCTGTATGGATTGTAGTGTTAGCACTCTGTGTGGGGGGTTTTGAGGTATGTATGTTTGGAGCGGGTTGAACGAGGAGGGGAGACTGAAGGGTGGAATCTAGAGAAAGGAAAAAAAAAACCAAAAAAAAACCGTACCGTCCTTCCGCGATGAGAGCGTATTCTCTAGTGACGACTTTTTCACCGACCACGACGTCGCCCTTGGGCACGAGGCCCCATCCGCCAGGGCCAAAGGCCTGGTTGAGGATGCGGCGGTACTTGATCTCGGGGAGGTAGATTATGCCGTCGGGTTTGACTTCGACGTCGGATGGGTTTACGGGTTGGAGGAGGATGTCGACTACTTCCTTTGGGAAACGGGCTGTGCCTAGGCCGTGGTAGGATGTTGACCAGTCTATCGGTTGTTGCTGTTGTTGTTGCTGCTGTTGTGGTTGCTGTTGTTGCGTCTGGTCTGAAGTCTGTGTTTGAGAAGAGGGAGGAGGGACGTATGCTGGTGCTGTTGGGAATGTTGTTGTCGCGGGTGTTGCTGCTGCTGCTGCTACTGTAGAGGAGGATGGTTTCGAGGCTTTCGCGGCTGGGGAGGGTGTCTTTCTGGCGTAGCTTGAGCTTGTTGTGCTCTTTGCGGGGGAAGGGGCGGCTGCTGTGGCGGAGGCGGCTTTGTAGCGCGAGGTTGTGGCGATTCGCGCGACGGGGTGGAAGGTTGTTGCTGTTGCTGTACGCGATGCGCGGAGGAGGGGGCGCATGGTGAAGGAGGCCATTGTGTGGATAAATGAGACTATTCGGCTGGGGGAGTGAGTGGCGTGGGAGACGAGCAGGGTGCGTTGTCGGAGTATATGTTGCAGAGCAAAGGGACACACGCGCGCGCACGAGAGGAGGACGCCGGGGGAGAGAGCGAGGTAGTCGTGGTTTGCGCCGTGTCGATGATGCTCTCATGAACTCTGGGGGCGGCGTGTAGGACGGTGACGGGAAGGATTGAGATGAAATTTGGTCGGTGCGGGTGAATGCGGCGCCCGGGAGGCGGGAGCTTGGGCCACTCCTTTGGAGCTAGAACACTGTGCGAGCGGCCTTTTTTTTTTTTTTTGGTTCCATTCCTTTGGCGTCAGTCAAGTCAGTCCACCTTGAGGCTGGCAGTGAGTGAGTGAGTGAGTGAGTGAGATGATCAACAGGAATGATATGAGATGCGATTCGTTTCGTGATGATGAATATACAGTTGTTGATACATGTGGTGTACAAGCTCTAGATGCAGTACTGAAGACTCATTCTTGCGTTGAATCACGCATCCTTTGCGTCCGTCCGGCGATCGTTGCCCTGCTGCTTCCAACAGCTCTTGAAGTGTTCCATCTAAGATAATATCAACCGACGTCAGCTTCTGATTCATCTTCTACATCATCGCTGCGAGGCAAGAGGAATATTGGAAAGAGTGTGACATACCTCGGCCGTACACTGCCGCCAGTCCTTCTTCTCGAAGTAGCAATCTGTCAACTTGGCATTCTCGTCTACAGAGACCAACCAAGTGGGAGGTCAAAGTTAGCGCCGTCTGTTCGCGATCATTCCGCTGCGATACGGAGAGAGAGAGAGAGAGAGAGGGGTCGTGTCGATGCGTACCTGCGCAACCCGTGCTGAAGATGCGCTTGTCCCTGCATGGTCGTTAGCTGTTGCTGCTTGTTTACTTTTTTCCTTCTTCTTGTTTTCTTCTTCAACTTTTGCCCTTTCTACATCGTGGGCAACATCAGTTTGTCGTTGAGACAAGACAAAGTAGGCCAGTCGAGAAGAGCAGAAGAGACTGCCAGTTTACATACCAGTCATCAGGCTCGTCGTCTTCCGTCGACAACTTTTTCGCCGCGTCGCTCTCCTGTCTGGACATCCTTCCTTTTCGTCTTTGCTTCCTCGGCAGTAATTTGTCGGTCGGTATAGCAGACGTCGTTGCCGTCCTGTGTTGGTGATTGAACTGTTTTGCAAGGTGGGAAGTGAGTTCTCAGTCGAATTAGCACCACCGGAACTTTGTTGGGGGGTCCCAAGACAGTGCCAAACCAAACCCCGAAGTTACAACAACACTCGCTACAAGAAACTCACTCATCACCTCAAGACTCATCTCATCCCTCATTGCACCTCGCTCACAGACTCTCACCATGGCCTCACGTAAACTCAACGTGCTGGTCTACACCGGTACCTAATCCCTGTTCCTCAGCTATCCATGGAATTAAATTGACTCACAATCCAACCCCTAGGCACCGGCACGACCGTCGAATCGGTCCGCCACTGCATCTACTCCCTCCGCCGCCTCCTCTCCCCAACCTACGCCGTCATCCCCGTCGCCGAGGCCGCCCTCCTGAAAGAACCCTGGCAACCCACCTGCGCTCTCCTCGTCATCCCGGGCGGCGGCGACCTGGGCTACTGCCGCGTCCTCAACGGTCCCGGCAACCGCCGTATCGCCGACTATGTCCGTCGCGGTGGCGCTTACCTCGGTTTCTGTGCCGGTGGGTACTACGGAAGCCGCCGGTGCGAGTTCGAGGTCGGCGATCGGACCCTCGAGGTTATCGGGTCGCGCGAGCTCGGGTTCTTCCCGGGAACGTGTAGGGGTGGTGCGTTGAAGGGGTTCGAGTATCATTCCGAGAGGGGCGCGAGAGTGGTAAGGTTGAGTGTGAAGGAGGGGTTTGGGGAGGGGGAGGTGTTGAGTTACTACAATGGCGGAGGCGTCTTTGTCGATGCTGAAAAATTTGAGAATGTGGAGGTTCTTGCGCAGTATGCTGATGAGATCGCCGTCGATGGGGGAGCTGGGAAGGCGGCTGTGATACACTGCAAAGTCGGCTCCGGCAATGTCATCCTGACTGGTCCTCATCCGGAGTATGTTCACCCCCATACTCGTTCCTTAACCTCCTATTCTAACTGTGACGTTCCAGATTCGCAGCGGCAAACCTCAACCCCCAACCCCAGATCCCCTCCTACGAAGCCCTCGTCTCCTCCCTCGCAGCAGCCGACGCAGCTCGCGTGACTTTCCTCCGCGCATGCCTCTCCCGCCTCGGCCTAGACCTCAGCGCCGACCCGTCCGCGCCGCCGTCCCTCTCGCGCATGCACCTCACCTCGGCGAACCACGTCGAAGTAGGCGAGATGCTCGCGTCCTGGGAGGAGGCCATCACCCGCGAGACCGGCCAGGGGCAGGACGCTGAAGACAAAGAGGAGTACATCCGCGGCGAACACGATGTCTTCCGCATCGAGAAGCAGTCTTCGCGGTGGGATGTCGACGAGCTCAAGCAAGCTCTGCCGTCTTCTGGTTCTGGGGAAGCAGGAGAAGGCCGGATGGTGGATTATGATGCCTTGGTCAAGGTGATTGTCCCGCATGAGGAGGAGTGGCCGGACGCCAAGGAGACGCCGAGTTTCAATCATCGGTTATTTTATGGTTCTCTCAAGGAGTATCGCGCGACTGAGCCTGCGGCGGAGGGGTGGGGTGATACGCTCATGTATGGCGAAGTCGTTACCAGCACGAACACGCTCATGGATAAGTATGGCGCTCCTCTCTTTGCCTCTTCGTACTCTCATGAGACAATAAGACGCCCTCTGAGCTAACGATATCTGTCCTCAGGAACCCTAAACTGCTCGCCCACCTTCCAACTGGCTTTACTCTCACTGCAACAACCCAGGTCGCTGGCCGAGGCCGCGGCACAAACGTCTGGGTCTCGCCGGCGGGCTGCCTCATCTTCTCGACCGTCATCAACCACCCAGCACACCTAGCCGCCTCCCATCCAGTCGTCTTCATCCAGTACATCGCTGCCATCGCCATCGTCGAGGCCGTCAAATCGTACGACACGGCCTGCGGCGACGTTCCTGTGAAGCTCAAGTGGCCCAACGATATTTGTAAGTCTATTCTTGACCGAAGTGTAGAGAATTGTATCCTGACAGCAACTACAAAGACTGCCGCGACCCGGCCTCAACCCCCCAAGACCCCTCCTACGTCAAAATCGGCGGCATCCTCTCCAACTGCGCCTACTCCCAGGGCGCCTACCAAATCGTCCTCGGCATCGGCATCAACACGACGAACTCGCGCCCCACCACCTCCCTCAACGCCATCGCACCGGCACCGTTGAAGATGGCGGGCGGGTTCCGTCTCGAGACGCTGCTGGCGCGGATCCTCACCCGCATCGAGGCGCTGTACGCGCAGTTTCGCCGCGAAGGGTTCTCGCGCGACCTCGAGGAGCGGTATTACAAGCACTGGCTCCACTCGGGACAAAACGTCACGCTCGAGGCCGAGGCGGGGGCTAAGGCGAAGGTGGTGGGGATTACGAGGGACTGGGGTATGTTGAAGGCTGTCGAGGTGGATGGGATGGGGAGGGAGACGGGGAGGATGTGGGCGCTGCAGAGTGATGAGAATAGTTTTGATTTCTGGAAGGGGCTTGTGAAGAGGAAGTTGTAGGTCTAGATACTGTGGCCGGTGTGTAGTGATGCTTGGCTTCTGTAGTCATGGAAGCTGGGCTGATGATATGTCTCGAGCCTGGACAGTCCAATAGATCTATCCGGACCGTATCTTGCTGAGTGAGACGAATACCTTGGAACGCTTGAAAGATGATCATCCTGAGTGACAAAGTGAACAGGGTGGCTCAGTGAGGCACAGTAGGGTCATAGGGAGCAAACGAGCGTCAATCCCCAACAGCTACAGCCGTAAAAAGGGACTCCTGCCCAGAAGCTTAAGATGATTATACCCCTAATCCTGAAGTGCAGAGCTACCAAGTGGCTATAGCTATTGCTTTCGAATCTCCATGGAGCCGTTCCATTTTCTTTTGTTTTTTGTACCTGCAGCATCACGCATCACATATCTTGCCCGATTAAAGTCGACAGTTCGTCCTATAGGAACAGCTGCGGGAGTATCCGGGTGCTTATGGTCAGCTTCATGCCCGCATCTGGATAGCTGCACGGAATGCATTCCGGCTTACACCTCCAAAACTCACTCACCGAACATCTCAAATCAAGATTCTCAAGCGCCCCCGCCATCATGTTCTGCAAGCCTTATGTCAGTCATCGAATTGTCATTGAGACATCTGCCAGTAGTCGGCTTATACGGTGGTCAAACCCCCGTTCGCCAGTCTCACCGTCGGCCTTCTAGAGCCCCGATCCCTCCGTCTTACACCCCTCTACACGGAGACTGTGCCGCCCGTCACCTCGGAGACAATGCGGGAACAAAGTACGCGAGAAACTGTAAGGAAACATGCCAGTTTGGAAACCAAAACGCCTTGGCCCACCCAATGATGACGGGCTGCTGCATCAACATCGAACATCGGTGGAAGGAATAGAATAAATACCCCAAGTCTTACCATCATCATACAGATCATCCATCATGAGCGCAATTGAGATCCTCGGACGACGTCTTCATCGTTCAATCCCTACCACCCGCAGCATCTCATCATCGAATCTCACCCCCAGACTCATCGTCACCACTCACGCTCGCAACAGATTCGCTCACTACGCCGCGCTCACCCGCAAGTTTACAAACACGCGATCAATCGCAACATCACATCAACTCTCCAAGATGGCAACCGAGGAACTACCAAAAGTGAAGCTCTACTGGTATCTCCCCCTCATCACAACACTCAATTCCCCATCCTCCGAAAAACTAACCAGCCCGCAGGCTCAACGACTCCCGCTCCCAAAACACCCTCTGGCTCCTCGAAGAACTCAAGATCCCCTACACAGTCCAGCTCTTCCGCCGCGCCCTTAACCGTCTCGCGCCCCCCGAGCTCGAAACCGTCCACCCGCTAGGCAAGGCGCCGGTGCTAGAAATCACACCCGCGCCGAGCGACGAGGAACCTAATCCTGCACCGATCCGGCTCGCTGAGAGCGGGTACATCACGCAATACCTCGTCGAGCACTTTGGCCACCGGAAGCCCGGCCTTGTGCCGCCGCGGTGGAAGACCGGGCGGGAGGGAAAAGTCGGAGGTGAGACGGAGGCGTATACGCGTTTTTGGTATTTGTTGCATTATGTTGAGGGGAGCTTCTTTCCTGTGATTGTGCAGTTTATTCTCATCAATGGTAAGCATCTCCCCCCCCCCCCCCCTGCCTACATGAGCCTTACTCCCTACCCTCCTCCTCTGTCATTTGAATTTCTGACCTGGATTACGTGTAGTACTCAAGTCATCCAACGTCCCCTTCCTAATCCGCCCCCTCACCTCCCTCGTCGCCTCCAAAATCTTTTCCCTAGTCATCTTTCCCAACGCGCAGAAGCACCTCGCCATGCTCGAGAACTATCTCAAGACTGCGCCGGGGGTATCACCTGGTGGCGGCGGGTTTCTCTGCGGACCAGAGCTCTCGGCCGCGGATATACTCATTAGCTTTGCGCTCATCACGGCGGACGCCGAGAATGCGTGGGACACGATGGGGAATTGGCCTGGAGGGTCGGTGAAGGCGGCGCACCCTGTGCTGTTTGAGTATGTTGAGCGGTTGAAGAGGGAGCCTGGGTATTTGAGGGTTGTGGAGAAGGTTAAGGAGATTGAGGGGTGAAGAGGTGGTGGATGGGACATGATCTGATTTGGAGCAATCTTGTGAAGAGGGGTTATTACTGGGTGCTGGGATGCTTTGATCTACCAGGACGAACAGAAAATCCCACTTCATGATTACAACACAGTCTCATATGAGTTCTTGCTTCAAACACTGAGGCCTGATGCTGATCGACCCAATCGCTAAGCAGACACCATAGATCAAAGTTATCGCCGAGATGATGCTACCATGGACTTGGAACTCAGTGTTGGTTAGCTGGTCAGACTGAGAGCGGGCCGTGACTAGCATTGGAAATACACCGAAGTTCGTGAGACAGGGACTTGAAGAGAAGAATTCGGAACGCAAGAATCACTGTTTCATGAAAGCCATAGTCATAAGGCACCAGGAGTCTCATCTTCTTATGAGATTCAAGCTTCGATGCCGCGTGAGATGATCACAGCAGTCACAAGTGAAGTGAGGTGCCTCTGCCGTTACACCTCGCGCCGACTCCCCATCAATTGATTGCAGCTGGCACCGGCAGTACGGTGACATTCAATCCCACCCACCTCCCTCCCTCACTCCCGTAGAGAACAACTCGGCCACATCATACCCGATAAACCACCCGACACAGATCTTCCAACCCGTCAAGGGCGACAACAAGCTTCTGGGTCGGCTCTTTCAGTTCTCTGGGGATATCCTGACACGGCTTGATCTATGGACCGGGTTTCTAGACGCCGGGAAGCACAGTCTCCGTCATCAAGCTTCTTGCGCCCATAAGCTTTTGTGCGCTGTAGAACGAAAAGCAATCAACGTAGGCGCACAATAAATCGCTATGACGGGGACGACGGGCCGGAAGTCTAGGTGTTCTCTATGCTGCCTTACCACCCCATCAGAGATCGCCATCAAATAGGGCGCACAATTCTATCGGCTTTTTTGTCACATCTCTCTGATGACATGTCGTTAGCCGAGTGAACTTGAAAGGCAAAAGGACACAAAGAAGAAGCTCCGAGGATGCAGAAAGTAGCCGTGTCGGGACTACCTAGAAAAGAGGGTGGATGGGTGAGAGATGCATGACCTGACAGTGGTGGGCAGAAAATGCAATCGCCGTTGCCCGTCAAACATCGCCATCGCCATGAATCGTCTGGTCCCGTTTGTCCACCGCGCAATTATCCGCTCATCCATACTCTACGACAACAGATAGAAACAGTGGGCGATTGCGTGTTGAACTATCGCAACGAACCTTGGGATGAAGCATGGCATCAGACTGGAACTTTGAGAAACAAACCGGTCCCACCAATCGGCGCGGCAATCAAGCCAGGTCCTTCCGGATCGGGAAAGTCCCGGACGGCACTCCGTGCTGCCATGCCACCATCGCCTGCGGGGTGGCACATGTGGTCGCGGGATTTGCGGTGTGGAGGGGTCGAGTAAGAATGGAGGTGCAAATTCATATGCCTGCGGATAAGAAAAGGCAAAGGTTTGTGTGGCATCTCTGACCCCGCATCGACGAATTCCACAGCGACTGGTGCGGGAACTCACTCGAGTTGGAGACGTCTCTTCTTTTCCCTTTCTGTGTCTCGTCTCTCTTTCGAGGTTATCGTGAGATGACAGCCGGAATTGTTTCATTCTCAGCCATCGAGATGTCTATCTCCGTTTCATCAACATGAGATGACAGCTGAGGTGAAGCTGAAAAGGTGACAGGACAAGTCACTCACGAACCGTTCAACGAAGCTGAGTAGCTGGAACTTGGACGACTCTTCCCTCCCCCTCCATCGGCCTCTCCCGCCGAGAACCCCAAAAGAAACAGATATCCATCCAATCGCGATCCCAGCCGTTTAGCCTGGGAGTTGCATCTGGCACACTTGACACTCACTCACTCACCTTCCCTTTTACCTTTTCGGGCAGACATGGACAAACCCACATAACCCACCCACACATGCGCACACTCAAAGGCAGACAGATAGACACATCCACACAAATATCCACCCACACATCTACGCAGGCGCACACCAGGAGCCAATGCGCCCGCGCTGGCGAATCGAGTTGATTCTTCTTCATTTCGACGCGGAAACCCCTCCACACCCGGGGACGATGGGTGGGCCGGGACTCGGGAGATGCTTCTCCAGGGTCCTTTGCCGGGCTAGGATGTTCGCCGCGTGAAGTCAACCCCGGGGTGGGGGGGGTTTTGAGCGTGGTCCCGCATGACGAGCATGGAGCTTCCTAACCTAGCAGTTGAGACCTCTCTCATATCTGCTATGAAAGACGCCAGCTCTGCTCTAAGGTGCTTTGAGGTTTGATATCTGCCTTGGTCTTCTTCCTTTCTTCATGTTGTCGTTCTCGAACTAGAATTCCCTCTCATGTCTTGGAAGCATGTAAGTTCGTGGTAAAAATCAGGCGCGGAAGATCGTAGGCTTTAAGATCATAGTATCCGACTCGTCGGCGACTGTCGTAGTCGTCTTGTTCACGATGTCGAACTCCAGCATTAATGCCAACCTCACACACCCTCACACACCGTCGTCGTCTTCAACTTTATCACCGACGGTTCTCAAGGAGATCGTAAGTCACAGTCCCATTCACCGTCTCGAATGACAGTCATCTCACATTGCATCACAGCAAGATGCAAACGTCCCCCTCTTCATGACGGGCCTCCTCCTCCCCCACGCCCTCTGCACCATCTTCATCGCCTCCCGAATAGCATCCCGTCTCTGGGTAACCCGCAAATGGTTCCTAGATGATACCCTAATTCTCATCGCATGGCTCTTCTCCACGGCCCTCTGCGTGGTCTACAGCATCACCGCCACCACGCCCTCACTGCTCGGCGCCCCTTCACCATCATCCTCAACCACCAGCAACGACACCGACGCAAACCCGTACATCATGCGAACCTACCTAGGCCTAATCTACTACCAACTAGCCCTCTGCCTTACAAAACTCTCCATCCTAGCCTTGTACCTCCGCGTCTTCGCATCCTCCTCCCGGCCCCGCGAACGCCTCCTCGCTCGCGCCGCCGTCGCCTTCGTCCTCCTCTACACCCTCCCCTTACTCCTCATGTCCTTCCTCCAATGCAACCCCGTCCAGGGCCAATTCTTCAGCCGCCCGGTACCGGTGTGCTTCCGCTTCCCAGACCTCCTCATCGCCAGCGCGAGCCTGCACTCCGCCACAGACGCCTGGCTCGTCGCCATGGTCGTCCCCTCCGTCGCGCGGCTCGATCTTCCGCGCCGCCAAAAGATTGCCCTCGCAGTCGTCATGAGTCTCAGCGTTTTCGTAATTGTAGCTAGTATGGTCCGCCTACAGCTCAGCCTGCACCTGCACTACCGACCAACCGACGACGCCGGCGTCCGCAACACTCTCGGCTTCTTCGTCATGACGGTGTTAGAATGCGACCTCGCCCTCATCTGCGCCAGCGCGCCGACCCTGCGCCCCTTGCTGGCGCGCCTCTTCCCTTCCGTGATGATGAGCAGCGCAAAGCGGCGCTCGCTCGAGGCCGGTAACGCCGAGACGCAAAGCTTCGATCTTACTAGCCTGACGTACCACGGCTACCCCTGGACGGAACCCAGCACGCCCGCCGGGTTGGCGACGCGGAGTCGGAATGCGAGTATCGCGAGCCATTTGAATAAGCTCCGTATGCCGGCGCCGCCGCTGCCGACGCTCACCATGGCGCAGCTGGGCCCCGCGAAATTGAGTTTGGGGAATCTTTTGATTACGGGTACGGCGCCGCGGAGGCCGGGGCGGAGTTGGCATGTTACGGAGGACGGGAAGCCGATTCTGTTTGAGACGGCGGAGAGGAGGGCGGCGGGGGCGGCGGGGTATAAGACGCAGGCTTCGTCGATTTATTCGCAGGATATGACGTGCAGTGGTGATGAGTCGTGGCGGGAGGAGGAGGAGTTTGAGAAGAAGGGGGGAGTGATTCTCAAGACTATGAGGTTGAGTCTTCGCTCAGAGTATGTTACGCAGAATGAGGCAGACGCAGGAGACAGGGAGACAGGAAGTATCGACCGCTCGAGCCCGACGTCTGGGTTCAGTGGTGATACCTGGGCCATAGACAGAAGCAGTTCAGGGACGGCTGGGGGTGATGGAGTTGGCGGGAGAACACGCGTAGGGAGGTTTGTGGAAGAGATACCCAGGGAAGAAGCAGTTGAGACGCCAGAGGTCCCCAAGAGAAGCCCTTTGAGAGATAGTCGACGAAGATAATGACAAATACAGAATGACGATTTGATGACCCTAACGAAGCCCCCCCTCCACGAATCTCTTCAAGTCTTTTCCCTGCGTCTCAAATCTCTCTTGCAAAGTCCCCTTTAGCGGCAACAGCGTCGTCGCCCCGGGGAGGTAATACGTCTCATACGATACCATCCTCACTGACCCATTCCCCAAATCAGTCAACAGATTCGGATGCTCCGCCGGCAGAAACGCACCGCCGAGGCCATCGTCATTTCTCCACGCGTTGACGGCTCTTGTAGCGCCGTCGTCGCAGCCGCGTACATCCGGCGCAAGCAAGGTGATGACTTCGGTCGAGGAGGTATTGACACCGGGAATGATACCAGCTGTGGTGAAGTTCATCGACAGGCCGACGTACACGTCCCCCGGACCGGTCACCTCAGGCGGGAGGCCGACGTCGACGACAAAAGTGTTCCAGGTGCTGTAGCGGCGGAAGTCGAGGAGCGCGTCGTAGATTTTGCTGATGGGTGCGTTGATGACTTCTTCTGTGCAGACTGTGAAGAGCGCGCCTTCCAGGTCGTATGAGGGGGTGGGGAGGATGGCGCTGGAGCTGCAGCGGAGGGAGGCGATGTTGGATAGGGAGGCTGAGGCGGTGATGGCGGAGAGCCATATACCAGAAGTGAGGCGCATTTTGGAGCTCCTCGCTCTGAAACTCAGCGTCGTCTACGTGAAGAGCGGTGATAGAAGCGAGAAAAGGTCTGGTAGCGATCGAGGGCAGAGCGTCGATGATGTATCCGTCCGGGGTCTTTCAGCTTACATGTAGGGACACAGGCAAGCTGAAAACTCCATGACGTGGCCATGCAGACACCTGCACCTGATATGTGAGACCAGAAGCACACATATGGAGAATGGGCTATTGGCCCCCGAAGTAAAAAACAAGATCGAATCCAAAAATAATGCAGCTTCAATACATTGGTCCGAAACCTGGAACTTCGAGCGGTCAAGACAAAGAACTGTGACACGATATCAACTGAATTTTCTTCCTAAACTGTACTAACAAAACTTCGTTTTCTCCCAATTGTAGATTCCAAAGACCTTGACCCAGCTAATGGTCATGCGAGAAACTGGAGCTAACAGCATAGAATCTTCCCCCTTTCCCGGTAGGTCGGTACACCCGTAGGCCCCATCAATCTTGCCATTCGAGTTGATGTCTCCCATGTCAACATGGCTGGTTACAAGCCGAAGTAAGATTATAGCAGGGCCTTCAAGAGTGAGCACTTTGATTGGTAATATGCCGGATCGTAAGAGTGTCTTGTAATCGGTCCTGACGTCGATTGAGAAACCACCGCTAGCAGGCTCTCGTCCAAAGACTCCTTGATATGGGCCATTTGTATCCATAGGCTTGACACCGTCGGATGAAAGTAAGATGGTGAGTACATCTTGAGGGTCGAGTCCGGAAACCGTTGCGGCCTCTTGAACACTTCGACAGGTCACCTGTCGTAGCAAGAAGTCTCGCCAGGTCCACTCAGAAACCCATAGTGTCTTGGCCGCCAACAGGACGAAGCCAGCAAGAAGCCACGAGAACATGGTGAAGTTGAATGGGTCCACGCCGGGTACTCTTTCTCCGATGAGGAAAGCGCAAAGCAAGCCCCCGCTGACGAGGAGGACAGTGGACCCGAAGACTAGCCCGACGTATAGAGGTGCGTCTATGATGATTGAATCTTTTTGGAATCTCCATTGCTTAAACGTGACCTCCAAGAAGTGTCGATGCTTATTCGTCATCGTCATCTTTCTTGCCCTGTCCAAGGTATCATCCCGTAGTGGAGACATATAGCGCTTGGCCTGGCCGTTCTCAACTTTTCCGACAAGAGCTACGGTTAGTAGCGAATCTGATAGAGAGCAGGCCCATAGAAGGGTCAGGTGCAGCCGCATTGGAGCCGCTTCTGAGCTTGAAGACGCATGCTGTGTTCTCAGAAAGCTCGGCAATGTCAATTAATTCCGTGAGGGCGCTAAAGGTCCTCAAACTGGTTGAGAAGCCTGACCCGACAATCGGTGATGCCAAGGATAGGGGCACCATAAGCGTGATGAGATCATAGACAGGCTGAATTCCAAGGTTGTGAATTTCGTTTTCTGGACTGTCATTGTTGCTATCATTGTCGTTCCCAAACTTGGCTGTCAACCATACAGTGTTGGTTCCCGAGGCTGAGCAAACTTGTCGCCGGGACTGCAAGTGTTTGGCCATCTCGAAAGCTAGCTTCAATGACGTCGTTGCCCAATGCATATGAAGCCGCTCAGGAGATCCACTGATAGCTCCCCATCTATCTTGGTAGACCAGGGCATGGTCAGACCTAACGCCAGTTCTGTAGATCAGGGCACAGAGGTCGATATGATCTACTGCCTTATGTATGGGCCGAGCTGACCCAATGCTGCCCAGAACATGTTCCATGGCATTGCACAGCCACCGAGATATTTCAGTGTACTTCCTGCAATATTGGCCTACATCGGAGCCGTACTTGTCGAAAGTCTCTTCCGCAGGGTCATCGTGAGACGATGCATGATGGGTCGAGTCTTGTTTGGGATTTGAGTAAAAGTACTCATCCTGGTTGGCTCTCAAGTAAGAGTCGATATCCGGTCCTTTTGCAATCAGAACTTTCAACTTGGCTGATAGCATCGACAGGCATGCAATCACCTCGATATGCCATACGTGCTTTGATTCCTGGCTCAGAACGATGACCCTGGCCAATGTGGCTGTTATTTGATCCACCAGATAGAAGCACTCGTCTTGCTGGGATCTAGGCAAGATCAAAGGGCCTTGCGGGGCCGCGTCCCTTCGACTCATATTGCCATATGCTGACCTGTTGAGGTCCGTGTAATAGCGCCTGTTGGTATACACATAAAGCAGGTCAGACCTTTCGGTCATAACGAGGTTAATAGTAACGAATTATTTATTAAGCGTATAAAAAGGAAGAAGTTCGTAGGTAGAGCCCGTAATCCCTTTATAAATATAAATAAATAAAAAGGTTTATTAATACGGGCCCCGACTACTTACTTAACTATTTATTTACTTACCTATTTAAATTTACTTTTTTTACTTTTATAATTTAATATTAATAATCTTTTATTTTTATAATAAAAAAAAGTAAAATAAGGGCTAATTTTTAAATTAATAATATAGTTATAGAATTTATTATAAATCTTTTATTTAAAAAGGTTAAAAGCTATATATTAAAATTTTAATATAGTTTTTATTATAAAATATATATAAAATTTTTAATATCTTATTTTTTTTTATTATCTTATAATTTTTTAATTTATATAATTCGATTATTTAAATTTTTTAAAAATTAATAAATTTAATATAATTAAAAAAGAGCTTTTTATTAATTTAATTATACCCTAAATACGTACGTTTTTTTTTAAACTAAAGCCTAAAAAATATATACGTTTGCTAAATAATTTATTATTTATAATATACTACTATTTTAATTATATATTACTTATTTTTTTATTTTAACTATAATAGTTTTTTTATTAATAAACTACTTAAGGGACTTATTTAGTATATTTTTTATAAACCTATTAGTTAGGTTATTATTATTATTAATTTAGTAAATCTTATAAAGCTTATATTATTTATATAATTATTAAAGTATTATAATATTAATTATAAAGCGCTTTTTTTTATAGTACTTAGTTTAACGAAGTATTTATATAATAAGTACGAGTTTATATAAACTATAATAGGGGTTTTTAAAATATTAAGTTATTTAGTAACGAGGTTTAATATAATTAAAATAGTATAAGTAATATTAACGCTTATAACTATTTTATAAACTTTTAATACTAATATGCTTTAAGTAATTTTTTTATTCTTCATAGAGCTATAATAAATAATATTATTACGAATTATAAAACTTTTATTAGTTTATTTTTTATTTATAAAGATAATAATATAACTTAGCTATAAAGTATAATTAGTATTATTTATAAATAACTTATTTATAAAAATAAAGAGTTTAGCTATAGTTAGGTCTAATAATACGAATATAAGGCCTTAGTTTAAGTAGTTTATTTACTATTTAATACGTTAATTTAGGGTAATATAATTAATAAATAACGGATTTATTTAGTACTAAGTAATAAATAACGTATTAAAAACTACTTTTAGTTAGTAAATTAATATAATATAAGTACTTCGAGCTTATTATTTAATAAATTACTATTTTGCGTTTAGTATTAAGAAGTTAACTTATTTTAACTTCTTTTCTTAGTTTTTTTATTTAAGTATTATATTACTACCCTCTAATAAGACGATTCTATTATTAAAAATAAGTAGTTTATTAGCTAAGAAATACTATTTTAGTTTAGTTAGTAGTTTAATATACTTAAGCTTAGTCTCTTTTTTTTAATAAAAGGTCTTATTTAATAAATTAATTATATTATTAGTTTATATTCTAATAATACTAAATAATCTACTTTTTTATATTAAAATTAATAAGTATAAATCGAAAGTAAATATTATTATTTAAATATTATAGCTAGCTAGTCGTAATAAATATATTAATAAAAATTAAGGCTACGAATACTAAATAAATAATATTATAATTATAAATAGCTTCTCTAAAACTATATTTATAAATCGTAAAATAAATAAAGCTTTAGTAATTAATTATAATCTTATTAAAAAGGTTTTTTAATAAAAATAATTAAAAACGATTATAAAATCTAATACTAAGTTAATTATTAAAAAAGCTATAAAAAGTCTATTTTTAAGCTTAGCTTAAGTCTATTTTATATATAAGTTCTATATACTATTTAAATAGTTCTTTTATAATTAGGATTAATATTATAATATTAATTTTATAAGGGTAAACTATTTTTATTTTATTAGTCCTATTTATAAATTATTTATTATTTATTAGTCTTTTTTATTATTATATAACTTATTTATAGTTTTTTTAATCCGAAAAGAGTTATTTTAAATCCGTTCTTTTATATATATAATATAATAACTATTATAAACCTTATAGGGCGAGACCTTAGCTTCGTTATATATATTAAGTTATAATATTAGCTCCTCTTTTTAAAAATCTAACCCTCTAAGCCTATAAATAAATCGTTTATTCTTAAGTTAGGGAATCGTTAAGTATTTTGTTAAAATATATTAATACGATATTAAGTTAAATTAAAAAATCGAATTCTAAAATAAAGTTTAAAAAAATAAAAATAAAAAATTATAAGCGTTTTACGCTCTTAGAATTTATTAAAGCTCGTTCGGTTATTATTAATATACTTTATACTTATTATTTTTATATAAAGGTCCCGTACTAGTTTAATAAAAGTTCTTTTTATTATCGGACTTATATTAAAATAAAAAAGCTTTATAACGGGGTATTAGTAACTTTAACTTATAAGTTTACTTATTTATTTATTTTTTTATATTTTTTAACGTTTTTTTAAAATTTAAAAACTTAATATTTAGTAAAAAAAATAAAATAAAAAAGAAGAGAAAGTAAGTAAAGAGCTATTAAAGTTTTATAAAGAGTTAGCCCGTTTTTAGTTATTAATAACTATTATTATTAGTTATTTATCCCATATTTAAAAAACTTAGAGGTTAATATATAAGTACTAAGCTAAGACTTTTTATTATAAAATATAAAAAATAAATAAATTTAATACTTTAGAATTTA